AATCACCACGGACGTCACCAATTACATTATCGTGCTAATCCGACATAATTATGATGCATATGCAAGTCATCGTCATCAATAATGAACTACCAGAGAGCACCTCCATGCAGAGAGAGACCAATCAATAATACATGCTCTGTTCTATTTATGTTGCCATGGTCTCTTCTATAATTTCTTTTTTTGCGATCATACAGGCTTATTATATTTCTTTACAACTTAATTACGCTCGTCATGCGACTTCAGCTTGCGAGTTTTCAAATGTACGCCATGACGCCGATCGCCATCGCTGCACTTCTAAAATTTTGCATCTGTTTTGGAATATAGTCTTCTCTTATATATCTAGATTCATCACAGATTGAGAGATCTTGATTTAGGACGTTTTAAAATTGTACATTCCATGAGTTTTTTGGCGACCACCAAATTCTTTGTCTTATTATTTTGCGATATATTTGGTATACTTTTTTCGGGTTTACATCACAAACGTGGGTATAGAACTTTCGTAGTGTCAATAATGATAAAATATTGCACATGGCAACCGGGCTTACTTATCATGAGCCTTATAATTTGCGCAAGCTCTATGGTTCCAGACCATTAATCAGTGACTATCAAGCCTAACGGTACGTGCAAGAGCTGGAGGCGCTATACACGCACTCGCGCAAGAAACGCAAAAAGGAAACAATAAGGTTAAAGACAAGAGGGAAAAAAGAGAAGAAGAGACTGGAAGTCACTGAACATTTTACTGCACATTGAGTGTATATTAAGACAGGAAACCTGCGCAAATGGCCCTATTAATGCAGCTTATAATTATATAAATTCGTATATGAACGGTTTTGAACAGCGCCCCCAAGCTTCAAATGATGTCCACCCCCCCCCCCCCACCCCGCATTGCAATTTTCTTCACTGACGGTGATTTTCAATGTTGCCCCCAAAAGCTAATTTTTCGCCCCTCCCTCACTTGCCCCCAAAATTTTAGAGTCTGGCGCCGCCAGTGTGTGCCAAATCCACTAGGAGTCTGACTCCTTTTCTGGCCACTCTTCTGGCTCTACTCGCAGAACTGTCTCAAAAATATAGAGTACAGAAGCTGGAATTTCAACAGATTAGTAGTTGTACACCGTACTCAATATTTTGAGCGATTTTATTGCTATAATGAAAAAAAAACATGGAAGAAAAATTATCCTATGTTGGTCTACCTTACCCTTTCGCCAAGGCCATCGTGGCTTAAGCGGCATAAGACAGAGCGGCGAAACGGCGCAGCGACTGGAGCGGAGACCACATGCGCGTGCGCGCTGAATTGGTCTTCGCTTCAGCTTTGCCGCTATAAGCCACGATAGCCTTGGTGAAAGTCTAGGTCTACCCAATCTCTAGCTTGTGAAGTATGACATCATAATATTAAAACGTACACTTTCACTGCAATCAAAAACATAATAAACACTACGGTCTGCCATTGAAACATTCTTTATTCTGACAAGGTGCGGGTTACCAGTTTTTAGAAAAGGTTGGAAAATGTATCGGAACCATATTTACTGATCATCATTTTCGTTGAGATGAAGAATTTTTTTGAAGTTTTGCAGTTGATTTCTTTGAGTAAATGATTTTAATGTAAGTCCACAATTTTAAACGCTACTTTAGTTAAGGTCAATTTATTCCCACATACAAGATCATTATCCTTATACAATATACGTTCTTATTTTTTTTTTTAAATAACGTTCTCCTATTATTGTTTTTGTATGCCCTATTGTTGATGTCTTTTAATTATAGCATGTGTAATGTAAATGACATTTTCAGTTTGTAATCTGGCCGCAATTCAGCTATGGTCGATTTCAAATTCAAATTCAATTATTGCTAATACAGCCACCTGCGGAACTAAATAGCTCATTGTTTCTGATTATTTGGGCAGGTTTCCAGTTGAAGTTTGGTTTGTAAACGGTTACTGAGCTCATTGTGACTTGTTTTAAAGAATTATTTTCATTGTTTATTAACAGGGACATTACAAAAGAACACTGCAGGATTTTTGATTGAAGAAATAAACTTTGATGAGCTCAGTACATTCAGACAATTGTTTCAGTCATACATTTCAGACTGTAATATTAAAGAAAAATGCATAATTATTTTTAAAATATGTGGATTCATATGCTTGTACTCTTAACTAACATGATGTATTACATTGAAAATCTTCAAAGTTTGATGAAAATTGTTACAAAGACAAAAAAGAGTGTTCCAAGATAAGAATTATAGTGACATCAGCTCGAGGATAAGTTTGTGTCCTGATTATTATGATATTTGATTTCATACGCACACATCAAACAATAATGCAGATATATCGTAAAATATTTTTATGCATACCATTATAGACACATAATCCCTACAGCATACTACGGCAGGTGATATACCTTTCTAAAACAACTTTAAAAGCAATATCTAACTTACTACAGTTGACAGCTGCATGACATATTAATGTCATTAAACTATCTTATATTAAACAGAAATCCAAAATTAGTTTTTAAAATATGTTGATGCTTTTTTTGTTCTCGTAACTCAGAAGGCATTTCTACAACATTGTTGTATTACAGTGAAAATGTTCGGTTTGTTTGAGAGTTAGTAACAAAGATAATAGGAATGTTCCAAGATAAGAATTGAACAGCATTTAGAGGTTAAGTTTGTTTTCTCAATAATTATTAGATTTCGTGCGCACACATCTAAAAAAAAACCATCCACCAAATACATCGTAAATTGAAATATGTTTCTGCACAGTGAAGGCACACCATCCTTCACAGCTCACTACAGCTGGTCATAGCCCTTTGTAAAACGTCTTCAAAAGCAATACATGTATCTAATTTACATTTGACAGCATGTCATTTTAAATTCAATAAACTGGGTAATATTATACAGTCATCCCAAATTATTTTTTAAAATATGTCGATACATATTTTTTTGTACTCTTAACTCCCAAGGTTCTTCTACAACAATTCTTCAGCATGGACGTCGCCAGGATTATTTCCAGAGGGGGGCAAACATGTTTTCCCCAAAATCAAATTCCTGTATTTCCCAACATATTCTCGATTTATCATTTTTAGAGGGGGGGCATTCCCACCCCCTCACTCATTAAATTTACACCAATATGACTTCGCGCCTCTTTTTTTTCTTCTTTTTTCTCTTATTTTTCTTGTTTTCTTCTCTCTTTGTTTGGCGCCCCCTTTGCCCCCCCCCCTCCCCGCTCGCGACGTCCATGTTCTTCAGTGTGATTAAGTGAGTTACTAGGATAATTGAAATGTTCCAAGATAAGATTAACGATTTCATTTTGAGGTTAGGTTTGTCCTCACAATGTTTGATTTCTTGCACACAAATCAGAAAACAAGTTCATCAGATATAATATCGTAAAATATGTTTCTCCACAGCAAAGGCACATCATCCTTACAGCATACTACAGCTGAAAATAGACCTTTCTAAACAGCTTCAAAAGCAATATATCTCATTCACATTGGACACCATGACATTATTAATTTCATTAAACTGTAATATTATACAGACATCCAAAATATGGATTCGTTTGTGTACTCCTAACTCCTAAGGCACTTCTACAACAACGTTTATTATTTACAATTCCATCTGAAAAAATGTTGTACAGTGATAATATTCAGTTTGATTGATTTAGTAACAAGGATAATTGGAGTGTTCCAAGATAAGAAAACATTAACATCATGAGGTTAAGTTTGTCCTCTCAATATTTGATTTCGTGCACACACAAGAAAATAATTACTCGCCAGATGTGAAGTAAAGCATATTCTGCATAGTAAAGGCACACTATCCTTATAGCATACTACAGCTGATCATAGACCTTTCTAAACCAGCTTCAAAAGCAATATCTAGTTTACATTTGACAGCATGACATATTATTTTCATTAAGCTGTGAAATATTATGCAGACATCTACAATTATTCTGTACTCTAAACTCTTAAGGTACTTTTACATCAATGTTGTATTAATATTACAGTGAAATTGTTCATTTTGATTTAGTTGTTTACAAGGATAATACAGAACTGGTGTATCTGTGACCACTTCGACCAGCAATGGTTTGATAACAAAATTGCTTTGATACCTCCCGTTTAGGTTTTGAAACGAAAACGCACTTTCTTGTCCAATGGATGCAGCCAGTATCATGTCATAATCTATTAAGTAGAAGTTCTATCAGGACAATTACAACCTCACAGTAAACTCGTTTTTCGTAACTGTTAAGACATAGACTACTCTCAAGTAGGTTACCCACAGGTAATATACCAACGCACTACACTATTGGCTTCAGCCCCCACCCCCACCCCGTCCGGAAGGAGGGAGGGGCAGGGGGAATGGCGGAGGGTACAAGTTGAAACCCCACCCTAACCATAACCCCAGTCCAGAGGAAGATCGAGGATATTTAAAACAAAATAAAAAAGTGGCCGATGAGTTGAAGTCAATGCATAGAGAGACTAAAGGATTTAACCGTTAAACTGAAGATTTGCAATGTTGTATTTCCTTAGTCTTTATGTAAACTTCAAAAAGGCCAGTTATCCATTACAGATGTATGTAAATAATCAACTTTAAGTCATTCAGATGGTAGAGAGGTAGATGTGTAGTTAGCCATCTTAACCAACCCCTTGAATCCGTCATTCATTCTTGCTCTCCACTGTACGCTACCTGTAATACAAATCATTGGCGCACCCAAGGGGGGGGGGGGGCCCTCGGGGGCTTGAGCCCCCCCCAGAGGTTGTTGAAATTTTTTTAGCCTGACGCCACCAACGTCAACCCCCCCCCAAAAAAAAAAAAAAAAAAAATCTGCGGCCAACAGTTTTGGGCAAAAAACAAACAAAAAAACTAACTAACATCTAACAAAAATGGAGAAAAAAATTGAGAGCCCCCAAAGCCAAATCCTTGGTGCGCCACTGCTACAAATGTAGGCATGGTTGTTGTCTTAGTATACCCGCACCTTCTCAACCAGTACATAGTTATCAATCGATTCAAGTGCCTCAGCCATCTGTTTTCATCTTCTCCACTTCTCCTCCCTTGAACCTCTGCTTCCATGTTGTAAGCATGTCGAAAATCGCACCATCGACACCAGTTTGCGAGTTTGTCACAAATGTGTACGTGTCGTCTTGTGTGAAATGCAGGTAAGTGGCCAATTTCTCCCAGTTTTGGCCGAGCTCTTTGGCTATCTCTCTCAGGTGGATGTCGTTAAACGGTAGCTTCTCCTCTGTTTCCACAAAGCAAACCATTTGAATAAAGGAACATTACCACAAATATAGAGAAAGTCAATGAAGAACGGGGTGCGGGTGAAAAGGGTCCGAATGATATGGCCAAAAAAAATTCTGCTTCCGGTTACCCGACCGACCCTATTTTTAGGCTGCGACCCTAAAAATTTTATCGACAATTCCAAAAAAAAAAGAAAAAAAGATTGAATAAATAAAAATAAAATTTTGTTGTCTTTTCTGTCTTCACAAAATACCCCATAACAACCCTTTTGCATCAAAAAAATGCTTGTATTTATTTGTTTTCTTACTTACATTCGTTTTTTTTTTCAAAAGAAACTTCCGTTATTTTTACAAATTCGCTTCGCGAAATAAACGATGTCCGTACGGTGACTATATCACGTGGCGACGACTGGTTCCTGCCGCGCCGCGCGCAGGGGCCAATTTAGAAGACATGATGAAAATGCGGTAACCAGTCCATAGCTATGCGATCGCGACCGGCGCGCTAGCATTGCAGGCCACTGTCAACTGGTCGGATTCGACTTCGTGAAAAATGCCAAGAAAACACCGATGGAGAAAGAACATTTTTGCAAGTTAATTTACAGAATTGATCTAGCGTGTCTGTGTATGTATTTTTTTGTGTTCAAGAGTTCACTTTGAGATCGCACTACTCGTATTTGGAGTGATACATGCCGCGTATTTCCCGAAATTTTTGACCGTGAAAACATGTTTGTCGGCCCATGGCGGGCCGCTCGCCACACATGCTCGCATCACACACCTCGGAGTTTTGGCCAGCTCCCCGCGTCTTGACTAGCGTTGTGCATATGGTGCGAACGACTGAATTTTCCATTATTTTTTTTAATTATCGAATGTTAATATATTGACAATAATTAAAGGTAGGTTTTATTCACTTTTTGTTGCCATTTCGTGTATAGCTTTCGTAGTGCAATGGAAATAGTTCAGGCTAAAACGTCGCATATAATTGAATACCCCATTCAATCTGCATAAAAAAAAATTGGCAAAAAAAAAAAAAATTACCGACCGACCCTATTTTTGAAAGGCATGTAATCGGAAGCAGAACTTTTTGGGGGGGGGGGGGGCCTAAGAGAAATCTCGAGGTATGTGCAAAGTCCCTGATGAGTGCATCATCCGTTGACCCTAAATAGACCTAGCTTGCTAATGTGGCAGTACGGAAAAAGTTACTATCTTCAATGGATGGAAACTCTGCCTGATACTAACTTCCACACTGATAGCAAAATAAAGCAGTTTCAGAATATTTTATCAACACAAATTAAGTCAACCTAGTACAATATATATGTATCAGGCATGCAACTGAGAAGTCACTAACAAAAGGAGTAAAATTATAGCTTGACATTTGCATTCCTTTGCGTGCAACTGAGTCCCAGTGAGCCCCACTGCTTTCAAAACATCTTTTGTTTGGCTTGAAACTCAGAGGAGCGCGTCCGGACTCGTGCGAACGGGTCCAGACGCGTTCCGACTTAATCCATCCTGCCTTAATCAGAAATTCCTTGTTGGTATTGAAATTAAAACATTAAATGTTTTTTGGTTGGAGTAAAACATAGTCTTTTTTATGTGTCAATAGAAAAATCGAATTTGTTGAAGAGCACGGGGAACACAAATTCAAAGTTTGTAAATAAGCAGTAAATAAGTCACAAATTAATACCTGATTCAGTGGTCTCCTGAAATTGTGGATCACTTATACCAAGGATTTTTGTTTAATGTAAATCAAAAAGAAAATTCAAATACTGCTTTCTATATTATTTGTTGCTTTTTTTTTCAAAGGAAAACACAATTTTACATGATTTGTTGCGGTTTCATTGCCATTAGAGTATACAGTCATAGACGTGCAACCGCTTACAAAAACCCAATTAATGGGTTTAGAGCATACATGTATATAATTATGGCCTGTTTGTACCCATTGTAATTTTACTGAAAACAAGTTTTTGCAAGTAATGTCGTTCTTTAATTCGATTTATATTACACATTAGCAAAGACACGTAGGCCTTTTTACCCGTGCAGAAATGCGGCAATATCTGCTCTTCCGATGTTCTCCAATGCTGTGCACAACGTGGTTATCTGCTCTTCAGCACGGGTGGATTGGGTTTGTTTCCATGTTACAAGCATTTCCAGACCTTGCCTTTTGATATCGTGTTCGTAATTTTTTTCGACAGTCTGAACCTCTACCATCGTAAAGCCCAGCTCAACTGCCAGTGCTGCCCAACCTGCACCGAGTCTCTTAGCAAATGCCGCCAGAGTTTTGTCATCTAAACGTGGTTCTGCAAAAAAGACAACGATAGAAATAGGCTCGACTGCTTGTCGTCTGTTTCCACAAAGCAAACCATTTAAATCAATGAACTTTACCAAACATATAGCATAGGCGTAGCCAGCGGGGGGTAGGGGGGTGGGGGGTGTTAGGGGGTATTTCCTCTACTCCAATAGTTTGTAAAGACTGCCATTTGTCTATTCAAGTGCCTCTTTTTTAAGAAGTGCCCTTTTTTTCTAAACAAGTGGCCTTTTTAAAAAGAGTGGTGCCCTTTTTTGTGCCATCGGCCGTTCGGGTTTTTTTTATTTTTATTTCACGCATGTATCCAGGGGCGGATCCAGGAATTTTCGCGGGCAATGAAGAACGGGATGCGGGTAAATAGGGTCCGAATGATTAGAGAAATCTGGAGGGATGTGCAAAGTCCCTGATGAGTGCATCATCCGTTGACCTCAAATTAACCTTGCTAATGTGGCAGTGCGATAAAAGGTACTATCTTCAATGGATGGAAACCTCTGTCTGATACTCACTCCTACATGCATAGCAAACAATAAAGAAGCAGTTTCAGAATATGTTATCAACACAAAGCCACCCTAGTATAACGTACATGTATATGTATCAGGCATGCAAATGAGAAGTCACTAAAAGAAGGAGGAAAGTTATAGCTTTACAAGACTCTCTGCGGTGTTTTTCCATTTTTTAAGTGAATACAAGAGAAGTTATTTCAAGAGGCGATCAGCATATCTGAGGAAGACTTGCATGCCTGATGTTTAGACCATATACAGCAAAAGCCAACCGACAACCAACCTCAAATTTTAAGCATAAATGTAGCTTTATCTCAATTGTTCAAGTAAACACAGACCCAAAGAACTATTTTACATGCACTTCTCATGATGCGCTTTAACACAAGTTCTTTCAAATGAAAGGAAACAAAAACAAAAATATTGTTAACTTTTGGCGTTATTTTAATTGTTATTAATTTCCGGCAACGAAACCAAGTCTGAAGAAACATGTAGAAATGAGAGAATTATGAGAACAAACGGAATCAGGTAGAGATTGGAACCCGGGTCTCGAGCTGTGGAAGGCCAGGAAAGTACCACTACGCCAGCTTGACTCCCAAGTAAGCGTGTAAGTTTGCGCAGGATGTACATTGGTATGCCACCTCGTGTCCTGGACACTAAAGGGCACTTTTTGAATGTCCATGGCCGGGCAATCATACAATTTGTGTCACCCTATCCTCTCTGGCGCCAATAAGGATTTACGCTACTGCACTTACCACGAGCGGAAGCTTCTTCCTCGGGGCTTTCCTGCCTGAACATGGCTTGGATTCCATCCGTTTTTATGACTACTTGAGCATTCTCAAAGCGGCAGACAACTTCCGGCTTGTCCATGCATTCATCCAGTTGTAGAAAGTGGGTAACCTTGTGATTCTCATTAGGACACTTGACACTAATAATGCCGTAGTTACTTCGCTTGATCCACATGGTTTTCAAGTTCTGCAGAGTCTCTTTCACAAAGTCTTTAACCTGTAACGAAATTACAATTACATTATAGTTTCCTTCTGGTCTATATACTTTCTTCGGTGGAATTAATTGGTATTTTCATTTGTAAACTTTTTGTAGGTAGAGATGGGAGGGATGAAAAGAAAACCATTACCCATAACAAAAACGCTATCAAAACGCCGATGGAACATGAGAATTTGTTTTGTTAAATGATGACTTTCTTAAACACTTTTGGGGCATACATGTTTGTTATACTTAACATACCTTACACGTAACATCCGCTGAAGGTGGTTTGGCATGTTTGGGGGGCGAAATAACTCCCGCCCTCATGACACTCACCTATAAACACAGGGAAGGGTCATTGTCATTAAAATACAATTAAAGTAATATTCTGATGAGAACAAAGCTTGTGAATGTTACATAAATAATGATAGGAAGGGAGGCCAAGCACTTTTCTGAGAGTTTTAAAGACAAAATATTAAATAAATTAGTTTAATTTGGGGTTCATCTCAAGAGGGATGATTACAAAGGCTTCTGGACTCTTTGCACGAACAGTAGACCGCTTTTGAGAGAGCAAGTTGGAGAGATACACCGTGTAAGAATGCTGGTTTGTACGCGTATGGTGTGAAGTTTTCCTCACAGTGGTCTCCCCAAATCGTCTTCTACTGTAACTGATGAGGAGGTACCTGTAATTGCACACCAACAAGGGCGTTGGTTGAGGGGGGGGGGGGGGAGGGACGGGGGACATATCGTTCCCCCAACACTTTTGTCGTCCACGAATACTAATTGTAGCCTACATTTGATTCCATAGCTCAGGACAGCTGATTCAATGACTCCAAACTAGACAGTGATGTTTAAGTGATGATTCTAGCAGAGGCGTAGCAAGTTCATTTTTATCGGGGGGGGGGGGGGGTTAAAAGGTTCGCGAAAAGGGCACTTGCACATCCGTGCTGAAAATGTGCTGAAAAAATGTGCTGAAAAAAGGGCACTTCAAGTGTTAAGAAAAAAAAGCACTGGAGGGGGGAGGGAACGCTGGTGAAAAAAGGGCACTTGAATGAAAAAGGGCAGTCTTTACCAGTACCCCCCTCCCGCTACGCCTCTGCCAATGGCATTAGGGCTTCGTGCTGCGCGCTCGCATTAGTTCTGATCAAGGTATGTCTCTCCCCCCCCCCCCCCCATACACACACTTTTGAGAAGTGATTTGTGCACGGGTCCATATCAAGAGCTTGATTTCCTCCTAGCATTGCATTAACACTATTTTTGTTCAAAACAGACTTATGTAACAGTAGCTGCTTCTGAAACAATGCGCTTACTTACTTTGATACATGCAAGCTTTGAATGGTGCACCATTTGCAGGGCGAAGTGATGATGGTCATCTACATAGAAACTTGCTCGATCATAGAGCAAGCCAGGCTTTCTTCCACCCAATTTTTGAGACCATCGCAAAGCTCGCACAACTAACCGATGGTACAATCCATCTGGACAAAAAATAAACCACACATTGTTTTTTCAAATAAGCCACAAAGTGGAACTGACTATATGAGAGATGGATAGCTTAGTTGGTAGAGCACCGGAACGGCAATTCGGAATTTGCCGGTTCAAATCCCGGTCAGTTTCTTTTTTGAAACTTTAAATTAAACATAAAAGGATGAAAAAAATGTCTTGCTAATATCAATCAATGTGGAACCCAAAATAGAGTAACGTGTATGAGGTATACCAACATGAAAGACATTGGAAAACATACTATTCTGTTCTGTTTTACCCAAAAAATGTACTATTTAAAGGCATGCCGGCCCGAATTTACCAGGGAGGAATTCTTCGAAGTCCACATAGAACACGTTTGAATTCTTCTCAATCGTCTCAAGTGGAGATGAACGTGATGTCCGCTGCCGCAACATTGAAGGCACATAGTAAGATGCATTTGTGAGGGAAGGCTGTGTGGCCGTGGATGGAGCAGTGCTACTTTTCTCTTCCTTCCGAGGCTAAAGTGGAAAATATTTATAGTACTGAAATGCTGACTGATGTCATTAAGTATTCTCAGACGTCAACAAATATATTATTTTTGACTTCTGAGAATACTTAGTGACATCAGTCTGTCGTTGTATAAATGTAGTGAGCGCGGAGTAGCGCCATGGGGCTTGAGTCTCGTTGGGGGCGAGTTGACATACACACACACAGCGGAGATTAAGTTTCACCGGATAATCACTGATTATTTATTCATTCATTAATGTTCATTCGTCTTCATTGGTAGCTCAGAGTCGAAGGGAAGGAGGTAGCCAGTCGCTGCACCAGGCTAAGCACGACAAGCAGTAGCTTTCGTCATGATTTCCAGCGGTAGTCGGGGGATTTATCTCTGTATTTTCCCCAACTCGGAGGCCATTCCTCTCATCTCTTCCCGTGACTGACACAGATTTCTATCCTTCTCGTTTGACACTAGTTCCAGAGCACTGCCCCGCGAAGCCTGTTTACCGCTGTCTGGGTTACCTCTCCCTTCTCTTAGAATAAACAGCTGTTGTATCACTCCAAAGAACCTTAGTAATATACAAAGAGTATACTTAACTACCAAATTATGTAAGATACAGTCTTTTATAAGCACCAAACAATAATTAATGAGGCCCTATATTATCTTACACGACACCGAATGCCAGTCTTTGCAGACATATCCCTGCGCTGCATGGATACACGTTCTATTTTTAGAATATTGTGCACACACCTGGGCAGGCCAGCTTTTGGCAATTTAACGGTGAGTAGGCGAGCGCCCTCTGTTGGCCAAATTTGTGAATGATCAACAACAAATCACTATCATAAGTCATTTCTCCACAAACTCCCCTACTGAATTGATCTTCTCCTGGAGATCACCTTGATTTAAAGATTTATAAACGCTAACATTACTATAACAAGTTAAACACTAAATAAAACATTAAGAATAAAGCTTAATGCTTAAACAATGTGTCTGGTTCCTTTTGAATATTTACCAAAATTTACTTTCGAAAAATTTAACAAGCTGTCTGAGGGTTCTCTCGTATTGGGACATTCCCCATCGATTGAGGTGCACACCGTCCAGATTAAAACGTGGGTGCTTTAAACCACGGTGATGCCAGACCCACCAACGGTCCTCCTTAAGAGTTTCTGCTTCAAGCAGCTTGTTGAAGACCTCTGCCTTCTCATTAAATTCAGAGACAGATACTTGATTCGGCCTCATATTACCTGTACGTGGCAAGACAGGCAAAAACACCACTACACAAGGACTAATACCAAACCTTGGCAGATCCCGAACAAAGGAACAAAGTAAGTCAAACACATCCTTTGATGATACACCAACTGTACCCAAATCATAAGTCCCTAGATTATTATTATCAAAATTATAATTATCAAAATAGAGGGCTGTACTCTGGCAATCATATGGTAATAACGACAACGATTGGCATTAATGCGACTTAATGTCAATCCTCCTTCCCCCAAACAAGAAAGAGGTACTCTTTTCCTCTCTAAATCTATATTTACTGTTGCTTCTCGCCTTCCTGAGAAACGCCTAACAAAACTGTGTCCAAATAACACAAGTCCCATAATGGTAATGGTATCTCCCCCTCTTCAACTCGAGCTTCAAACAATTTGTCTATATAAATCATGCACTCTATAATCTTTAGATTTACATTCTTCTGGAACTGAATACATTTTGTAATTTCAAAACCCAACTGGTAATGCTTATTTACCAAGTGGTACATAATGTACATGCATACACCGGCCTGAGCCGCATGGACCATGTCCAGGTGAGAAGTAGAGCAAGGCGACCACATGGGGTCGGACTCACTCACAGGAAGACTGGATACCCCAAGTCTCTTCCACAGAGTATGTCCGAGTCCCATGCAGCCACAGGCTAAACCCTCACACCAAGACTATTTCAGAACAGAGCGGGGCAGCCTGTGTGGGTTTGAATGAACACCCTTAGTTCTTCTCCGTGATGTTCTCCGAGGTTGTTCGTGATCTAACTCTGAGACCCTATGGGGCTCCCCTACTTTATTATCCTGTACCCCTTGGTCAACTGCTGAGTTACTTGGTTCAGACTTGGTCACAATAAAGTCGTTTTCGGACTCATCACTACTCTCAATGTCATCGCCAGACTCTGGATCTGCAAGTGGATCCACTCGTAAATATTTACGGTTGACCGTCTTCTCCGGTCCTCCATCAATTGGTCGAATGCGATATACATCCCCGTGGACATTCTGCCATGCCACTACATACGATTCTCTACAGTATGCGTCTTCTAGTTTGTGACGGCCCTTGAACGCGCATTTCCTTAAAAGAACTCGTGAACCCACTGGTAAAGGTGCCGCAGTAGCTCTGTTACTATGTGCGTTTTCGTTCTGACGTGCTCTTTTCTCTACCCTCTCTATTACCAAGGCCCCTACTCTCTCAAGCAGCTCCGATTGTTCCCTGACAAAATTCTGTTCCCAATTACTATCTGTCCGACCCAAAATTTGGTCCAATGGAATCAATGGTTCCCTTCCGAACATTAATGTGTACGGCGTTACGCCCGTGGTGGAGTGAGGTGTGGAATTGTAAACAAAAACAAGGTGTGACAAAAAGTCCGGCCATCGTTTGCGCTCGTGTTCGCTGAATGACTTGATCAATCCAAACAAGGTTCTATTGAATCTTTCCGCCTGCCCATTTCCTTCCGGGTGATACGGCGTCGTTCGTGACTTTTTGATACCATACAATGTGCATAGTTCACGGACCAATTCCCCCTCAAAATTCCTACCCTGATCGCTATGCAATCTGTTTGGGATGCCGAATCTCGTAAACCAACTGTCTCTGAGCACCTTAGCGACAGTTTCAGCACATTGGTCCCTACATGGTACAGCTTGAGTATATTTCGTGTACACATCGGTCATAACAAGAATATCCTCGTATCCACCACGACCCCTGTCAATCTTAACAAAGTCAATGGCCAATACTTCCAAGGGCCTGAAAGCCAATAAGTGACGCATCGGAACCTTCGGAATGGGTTCGGACACCTTCGCCGCCACACAACGTTCACATTTCCGTATGTGAGCCCGCACATCTGCGGTCATGTTCGGCCAATAAACGCGCTTGCGCAAAAGTGAACACGTTCGTGCAACCCCCTGATGACCCCAACCATCGTGGCAGCCACCCATAGCCCTAGAGCGAATTGTCTCGGGCATAAGTATTTGAAATACCTCCCCAACCACAGGATCTTCAACCCTTCGACACAGGACACCGTCTCGTACCGCAAAGCGCGACCACTGCCACAACCAATGCTTCAACCCGGGTGGATCTTCCCGATCACCGTGTACTACTTCTCCCGGTGACCAACTCTGGTCCCAGCGTTCCCAAATAATACTCAACAATGGATCATATCTTTGAAGAGCTAAAAGCTGCTCACTGGACCAGGACGGAAAAACTCCTGGCGGACCGGTTTCTAACGGCTTATACTTCGTGAACGCGCACTTGGAATTACATGCACCTACATGTAATGGAACTGAAGTTGAATGTGTCTTCGTTTGAAGAACACCTTCAACTACCTCCGAGGAGCAGTTTCTCGGATGCCGGCTTTAAGCATCCGCACAACGATTGCTGGCGCCTGACCGATACTTAATGTCAAAGCTGAACGCTGCAAGCTGTGCTGCCCATCTCATTTCACTGGCACCCAACTTAGCTGTGTTCAGGTGTGCCAACGGATTATTATCCGTTAAAACTGTGAATGTGCTGCCGATCAAATAGTCTCGAAATTTATCCACGACTGCCCACTTTAAGCCCAGCAACTCAAGCTTGAACGAACTGTAATCTGGGTATTTCGACTCTGCACCCCTTAAACCCCTACTCGCATAAGCGACAGGATGAAGCCTCCCCTCGTCATCGCGCTGCACCAAACAAGCACCCAGCCCCTTTAAGGAAGCATCAACTTCAAGCACAAAGGGTCGCGTAAAATCAGGATAGGCCAACACTGGGGCCTGCACTAACAATTGCTTCAGCTTCTCAAACGCAGCCTGCGCCTCTGAACCCCACTTAAGCCCAGTGGTTGATCGAGGTTTACCCTTATTGACAGGAGGCAGCACAGCATGCAGCGGAGCAGCCACCTTGGCAAAACCTTCTACAAAACGACGATAATAGCTCGCCAGGCCTAGGAACGACCGAAGTTCCTCTGGCCCCTTTGGCACTGGCCAATCCTGAACACGTTGTATCTTGTCGCTATCGACCGAGATTCCCTGTGCACTGACAACATGCCCGAGATAGTGCACCTCGCTGCGAAACAAGGAACACTTTTTGCCCTTAATTTTCAAGCCGAATTCTCCGAGCTTAGAGAAAACCTTGTCTAAGCGTTCCAAATGTTCTTCTACAGTAGAAGAAAACACTAAGATATCATCTAGATATATCAGCAACTCTGATAAATTCATGTCGCCCAAACACTGCTCCATTACCCTTTGAAACGTCCCTGGCGCATTTGCCAACCCGAACGGCATTCGTGTGAATTCGTATAACCCAAAGGGAATGCGAAATGCTGTTTTCTCTACAGAACCAGGATCCATGGCAACCTGATGGTAGCCATGAGCTAAGTCGATCGCAGAGAAATACTTAGCACCCTGTAGAGCCTCTAGTGACTCCTCTATGCGCGGTAGAGGGAAGGCATCGCGAACAGTCTTCGCGTTTAACTTTCTGAAATCGATGCATAGACGCAACGAACCGTCCCATTTTCTCACCAACACGACCGCGCTTGCATAAGGACTCTCACTTCGTTTTATGATCCCCTGATCCAACATGTCTTGCAAGAGGGTCTTCACCTCCTGGATACAGTGAGGTGAAATCCTCCTATAAGGTTCATTAACCGGAGTGTTATCCACCGTGTTAATTCTGTGAGGGATACGGTCGCAGTATCCAACATCAAACCCTCCTTTTGAGAACACGTGGTCATGCTTCTGTATGAGACGTGCAAGCTGCTCCCTCTCCTTACTACTTAAACTGCAAGCAGTAAGATCTAAACCTGGAGGCAAGAAATACTTGCTTCCATCTGAGAAGGTAAACTCTTCTCTTTGTTGTTCTGAGCCAGACTTAAATGTGTCTTCATTCAAGTTTCTCGGATTTTCAACCAGTAAATGGTTGACTGACACACTCACACCGGATTGTGTCTGATTCAACTCGATACAATCGGAGATTGAAGTCTCAACCACCGTTGCGAGCTTCGAGTATGGTGGTATCACCATGGATTGTGTTCCCAAGTTTGCAATTACAACCGATACCGTTTTTCCGTTTGTGAGTTCACATGAGTCGTAAACTTTAGCCGCTGCACTCAAATTACATGTACTACTAGTTGCACCTTCTGACTGTACACCGAATTGTGTACTTTCCACCATCACAACTTTGTTCCTAAACACATGAACTGGTGCCCTAATGTGACAACTAACGGTCTTCACCTGCCGAGGTGGAATGGCTATTTCATGTCTACTAGTACGTGCAGCAACTTGGTTTTAACACTTGAATCTTTAGTCCCCCTGTCAGTCTGTTTACTTTGCCCTTTGGTAAGCCTATACCACTGGAGAGTCACATTCCAAGCTTCACTGTCACCTTGCCCTTGTTCTACAACAAGATCCTTTAACATTTCTAGAACATTACACCCCAAAATCAATGGACTGTTCCGACGATTTAGCAATCCACCGTCGCAGGAATCCTTTACCACTAAAAAATTAGCCTCAACGGTTTTGTTAAAAACAGTAAGCGGTACTTCTACATATCCGGTGATTGGAACCTCCAAACCACCCACACCAAACACTTCAAGGTAAGTACCCAGTGGTTTTACACCCATTATTTTGTCGGCCAAATGTTCCTGATAAAATGTCTCACTCATTAGGGAGGTCTCTGCGCCTGTATCAAGAATACACGTGGCTGGCACTCCAGCCAGTGTAGCCTCAGCTCGAGGGCTTTCTTTAACTAACTTTGTTAGTAATTCGTCCGCGGACAACTTAGGCAACGCTCCCTCCCCAACAAGTGCATTACACGGCAAGGGCCGCTTGTGACTCTCCTCCACCACCCGGCCCACGGAAGTGGAGGCCTTCAGTTTAACGCAGGCTTATATTGACTGTCAGGTGCTTTTGTGGCACCTGCTTGACCCGATTCCATGTTTTGGGTTCCGATTCTATCAGAGTTTTGCTGGGAACGACATTGAGACTTGTAATGCCCCGGCTTTCTACACTTATAACAAATCACTGACCGACCTGGGATGTGACTATTCCCCTGTGGACCGGCTTGTTCTGTCACCTGTGTGCGCAGCATGCACTGCATCAAGAACGTAATTTGTTCCTGCTGCTTGCTCATTTGACCCAGCATATCCTGCATGCATTTTAACATGTCAGACTGTTGCTGTTGCAACTTAGGGTCTACACCCGCTGATAATGTGTCGACCTTAACACCTATATCAAACGACCTATCTACACTATCATCATTGACCGGACAATCTACATCTACATGGCGCACATGACTGTGTTTAGCCTTGGTAGTGACTTCAAAATCTTTGAACAATTCCAGTGCGGCATCTCTGAAATGGTTAAAGGTTTGGCCAGAGTTAGACAGCTGCAATCTCTTCAGCTCAAATCGTGCGCTTTGTCCGCGCGCTCCTGCCACAAACTGATTGATAAGAGTTTTGTCCTTCAGTTTTCCTAAGGAATCTCTCTCATCTTGGGGAGCTATGCGCAAAATTCTCTCATACATCCTAATTAAGGCACGGGAGAAATCCATCAGGGACTCATCTTCTAATTGCCCCCTTTCAAAGAAAACCTTCTGAAGGGACTGTAGTGTCTCCCCTCCCCCAAACTGGTTATAAAGCAGTTTAATCAGAAGCGAGTGATTGGATTTAACATCTTCCCTACTTTTTACTTCTACTCGCGCAGGTCCAGCCAAATGATCAACTATCACTTGAGCCTTCCCCTTCTCTGGGATGTTGCACTGCCTACAGTAAATATCAACTTCCTCTAACCACTCCTTCAGAGTCGGTTCTCCTGCCCTCACTGGCTTTCCCTTAAACCGCTCAAGTTTGATCGGTCGTTCCCTGGTGGCACTATTCTGTTTTAACGCGTTCGCTAGTTCAGAGACTAACTGAGTCATTAAACTCGCCTCCGTTGCCATGGTTGTCCGAACTATCCTAGCAACACACACGCGCAAGTCCACAGCGCACACAAAATCAGGTATCAAAGCCAGAAAGGACCCCCCCCAATTAATGGGAAACTACCAAGCCCACACAGACTGCCACGCAACAACTGTCTGAACTACACAATTACTGGCCCCTTAACCGTGTATGCATGCACATAACCTTGAATGAATTTTACCCCACATTCAAACAGTACCCGCTAATACACAATTCCCATGAAATTAAACGCACACACTAAGAAAATCAATGTCAATTGGGCCTAATTAACAATGAACAATACCGCTATTAAACAGTTCATTGTCGACTCCGTCTCCGGTGCATTTCTCCACTTCAACACAACTCCTCCGGGTAGAACCACTGATGCTTGAATAGCCCGTCTGCACCGTCGCTCATCAACACCGTTGGACCATGCATCCGACGCGATCTCCGGCTGCACACCGTGTCGCTCCTGGACTCGCTCCCCGTCACACACCCACAGCGTGCGGTCGCACGCCCGATGACTCTGGCGAAATCTTCAACTTTTGATCGAGTCCCAGTCGTCTGCACTCACCAAACACGGCCAAAAGAACCAGTCCGATGGCTTGATGATGACCCCGCAGCATCTGCAAAACTATAGTCCCGCCGAAGAATAACTACAAACACCCCATCCGTGTTACCAATTTGTAGTGAGCGCGGAGTAGCGCCATGGGGCTTGAGTCTCGTTGGGGGCGAGTTGACATACACACACACAGCGGAGATTAAGTTTCACCGGATAATCACTGATTATTTATTCATTCATTAATGTTCATTCGTCTTCATTGGTAGCTCAGAGTCGAAGGGAAGGAGGTAGCCAGTCGCTGCACCAGGCTAAGCACGACAAGCAGTAGCTTTCGTCATGATTTCCAGCGGTAGTCGGGGGATTTATCTCTGTATTTTCCCCAACTCGGAGGCCATTCCTCTCATCTCTTCCCGTGACTGACACAGATTTCTATCCTTCTCGTTTGACACTAGTTCCGGAGCACTGCCCCGCGAAGCCTGTTTACCGCTGTCTGGGTTACCTCTCCCTTCTCTTAGAATAAACAGCTTTTGTATCACTCTAAAGAACCTTAGTAATATACAAAGAGTATACTTAACTACCAAATTATGTAAGATACAGTCTTTTATAAGCACCAAACAATAATTAATGAGGCCCTATATTATCTTACACGACACCGAATGCCAGTCTTTGCAGACATATCCCTGCGCTGCATGGATACACGTTCTATTTTTAGAATATTGTGCACACACCTGGGCAGGCCAGCTTTTGGCAATTTAACGGTGAGTAGGCGAGCGCCCTCTGTTGGCCAAATTTGTGAATGATCAACAACAAATCACTATCATAAGTCATTTCTCCACATAAATATAAGTGAATTTTGTGGAGTGGCTTCTGGTTACAATTTGGGACGCGTAAACAACAGAGAAGTAAACAACAGAGTTATTTAGGATCAAAAGTAAGACATATTTTTGTATGCCAAGTAATATATTGTGCAGTTCTCATGTCGAACTTGTGTTTTACTGTCGGTCTGTATTTTTTTCACAAAATCCACTGTAATTCATTATATTTGTACCTCATATATTTTAGATTTGAACTGTGAATGCAAGCAAAACATACCTCATCAACACGCTCACAGAGTAGGTCAAACATGTCCATCAGATCCAGCAGCGCCTTTTTGTGCTCAATGATGTCTTTCCACATGTGGTCGATGAGCAAATCCTCCAATATGCCATTTTTTTGCAGTCGATCCCAAGACTGGACATAATGTTCGTTCTCAATTGGAAAAAAAAAATCACATACTTTGGTTCATTCAGATGTTGAATCAACAGTAGTTTAGGGTTTTGAGGAACTAATAAGGCCTGTTCTTACGAGGAAAACCCAAGGATTGACACGAAGTTAATGCCGCATTGAAACAAGCAGAGTGTCACATTTTGAATTCCCTGCCAAACCCAACAGCCAACCCCATGTCAACCCCGATGGTTAAGCCCAAGACAAGGGTTAAAATATTTGTACCCGACATGCAGAGCCAGGTTTGCCCCGGGTCGAGCTTCATGGCATTTTAGTTATGCACTGCATTACAAATGTACTCGACATTTGTCTTCATAAATTCCATTGCATAACTGCCCCATTTGATTAGAAGCAACATAGTTCACAGAGTAAGTCTTAGTCATGCAACAATTACACAAGTGTGACCCTCGACATGTAGGGCCTATACTTTGTTGCACAGAATGTGAAACGTATGTACGAAACATGGGTTGAGCTCCCCAAGGGATCCTTTTAAACCTTTTAACACCAAACTAATATCGACTAACTTTCCCCATACACAAGTTATGTTTAAGAATTCAGCAGCTCCATACCTCCGTTCTCACTGAATTATCCAAATTTTCCGAATGGCCTTTCAAAGTCCCCTAACCAAGTTCAAACATGTGAGTTTTTGTGCCAACACTGTTTATACTGAATAACAGGATTCAGCAAATCCCTGGCACTAGAACAAGATCGCCCCTGGTAGGTGGAGCTTCTTTAGAAATGCATTGCCTAGAAGAAGGAAATGTGACTATACGTTCTAGTAGATATTAGGTTCGTATGAAGCCCGGGAAGGGACAGGGTGGAATTTTTTTTTGGAATTTCCTAATTCGTTCGCACGAATTACTAATTCGTTCCCACGAATTACTAATTCGTTCAGACGAATTAGTAATTCGTTCGCACGAATTAGTAATTCGTGGGAACGAATTACTAATTCGTGCGAACGAATTACTAATTCGTTCCCACGAATTACTAATTCGTGGGAACGAATTAGCAAACTCCAGTAATTCGTTCGCACGAATTACCAATTCGTTCGCACGAATAACTCCAGTAATTCGTTCGCACGAATTACTAATTCGTTCCCACGAATTAGTAATTCGTGCAAACGAATTAGTAATTCGTGCGAACGAAATAGTAATTCGTGCGAACGAAATAGCAATTCGTGCGAACGAAATAGCAATTCGTGCGAACGAATTACTAATTCGTGCGAACGAATTAGCAATTCGTGCGAACGAATTAGTAATTCGTGCGAACGAATTAGGAAATTCCAAATAAAAAATCCACACTGTCCCTTCCCAGGCTTCATAGGTTCGGGTATAATGATACTGCCTAGAGAAGAATAACCATGATTCGAATTTCGGGTCAGATAGAAGTTAGTAGTGCATCCTAGCTACGGGGAAATAGCCCCACTGCCTCGTGGGTGCTTCAGAAGACTTCGTAACGCCCCAAGTCAGTCGTGTGCACACTACTAAACACCCTTCTGGTCGCCCCTGCAGCCAAGTTGATGCAACAACACAGTGTGGAAACAACACAGTAGTCTGAAGTTAAGAGGCATAAACCCAACTCATTGGTGTAGATAGCGGTTTACCTTCATCGGTGGGACCGGGTAGGATTATCGCATTTTATACAACACCTAAATAAATACCCGTCATCTGATTGGTGGATCGTTGATCACATGTCATTGAATTATTCGTCCCAACACACGGCGCGCAGCGCATAGTGCAATGGAAGTTCTATTGCACGGTGAATAGAACTTCCATTGCACGGTGTCACTGCTGCTGGCGCTGTTAAAAATCAAGATAAATTGAATATGATTGTGTTTAACCTGTTGAACAGTTTGCATAAATTAAATATGATGAACTTGTCGAACTTTTAAACAGTTTTGAACCTAAATAAAATGTCTATTAAAGTCAACCACTCCGATAACAAGGATTTATTCAGGTGTTTTATAAAACAAATAATGAATGTTTCACGTTCATGCAATGGTAAGAATAATTTCATTCGGTGACAGATGAAATGTTCCATTCCACTCGGCTTTGCCTCGTGGAATGAAACATTTCATCTGTCACCTCATGAAATTATTCTTACCATTGCACTCACAAACATTCATTATTTGTATACTAATATCCAGTTACCGCCCCAAGCTGAGCAGCCCCCGGCAAAAAGGTGCTGGCTCGTCAATATCTGCTAGCTTCAATGGGTGCCTGACGCTTAAGGCCCTGTCACACTGTCTGCAATCTTATATCGTCACCGTTTTCACAAAGAGCCATATATGTCAAAAATTATCATTTTTTCGATTTTGATTTTTTTTCAATATTTTGCTTTAAAACAATGTACTTAACCATTTAGACATGTTTTTGTAGGCAAAACATAATTAACTATCAAGTTACATTAATGTTGCAAGGGGCCAAAATCTCGATAAATGAATTTTGCGTTTTCACAAAGAGCCACATACATTTTGGCCCTTTGAACGAGTACAAAACCCACTGCACGGACATTTGTAAAAGAAGGTCAAATGAGATTTGCGTTTTCACGAAGAGCCACATATCTTTGTTACATTTTCAGCTGCGCGCGCGTACTCACGCGAGAAAGTAACTCGACTCCGATGAACTTGTAGAATAATTTTGAAACTGGAATATTTATTGACCGTTTTGTCGTGATATCTATACAGCGCAAGTGACGTCACATGAGCGTATTTTGGTCGAATAGAGGGCGTGACGCAAGCTACTAGGACGTATCAACAGCGAACAGAGCGTAGTGTGAGCACAGTGACAGCGCAGCGGCAGCGACTAGATCGAGTAATTGAGCTTGACACTAGGGGCGCATAGAGAGCGAGTTGAGCGCATCGTAAGCGTGGGAAGAGCACAATATGAGCGTAGCTTGAGCATCTTTGAGTCAGAAAGTTGTCATTTTCTTGCGTCCTCGCTGCGATTGTTCAATTTATGAAATAGTTTTGGTCGCCGTAAGGTCTCCTATGAGATCGCATATAATGTGACAGGCCCTTTAGTGTATTGGCACAAGCAGACGAAACCTCTGCACCACGCAGCAAACAAGATCTTTGGCAGAAAGAAGATAAAAGTACAAGGAATTTGGATTCGCAAGCAGGAATGTTATGACGCCTCTGATGACCTGATCCAAATGGACGATTCTAGGAAGTCTCACATCATCGTCAGGGAAAGACCAATGCAAGTTTCTACTTCCTAATGCATAATTAACTTACTTGGTTTCTTGGATGTTTCACAGTGAGGATCTTCTTGAAGGCATCGATCAGCCACTGTGGATCCAGAATGACCACATCTCTCAGCGCCTGGCTTTTCTTGCCACCTTCCCCTCCAAAGTATATTATGTGGCCGAGATCGTGATAGAACTTCAGCATCGTCAGCAGTTCAGTTTCATCTTCAATCCCAAAGCCATGCTTTACCTAGCATCACAATGAAGACATTGAATTATTCCTTGTATATCCCTCTGTTCCCACATCACCCACCAACTGCAAGATCGAATTGCAAAATGCAAAAATCCCAAAAGCCATGATGCCATATATTTCCTTTATTCTTAAGTTGTATTTAATTTTCAAAACCTTATTTGATCCTTTATGTACGGTGTAGGCTGATTTTCACCTACCTCACGAAGTGCAGTGAACAAAATCAACCAAATCCAAGGGAGGTAATTTTGCACTTTTTACGTGAAATTATCCGTGTTGTACCTATAACAATACATGCTGTACAGGGTGAGTCAAAAAGAAAGTGACCCAATTTCAAAAATATTTGTAAACATTCAGCTTGCTCCATTTTATTAAAAAATACATAAGAATGAAGTACATCTTATTGACTTTTAATTGTGAAAATTTCACGTAATTTTCATACTCCATTTCCAAGTTATGTCTATTTTAGTAAAATTATCACAAAACTCGGCTGTCCACCACTGATCTTTTACTGTTCTACGAACTGATGAATAATCATCGAGTACAATGAAACAAGTACGTTTTCCCACTTCCATGAATGAACGAGAACTTGCAAGGGAAAACATACAAAAATCGCCATCAATATTTTTGAGGGGGGGGGGGATGGGGGGGGGGGGGGGGGCTGGTACCCATCTTCCCAATGAGTGCGCTCTTCAAACCTGACCATTGTTATTAATACTGGAAAATATATGCCGATTCTCAAGGCGCATGTAATGGGTTTTAATTGTGTTTTTTTGGGGGGGGTTTGATGTCGGAACTCTCTAACTATTTATTGAAAAACGTACTTAAAACAAATAGTTGTTCGAAAATTCCGACGAAGGGAGGGGCGGGGGAAAGGGCCCCATGCCTCCCCCCCCTCTCTCTGGATACGCCACTGGGTAGCCTGGGGGAGGCACCATACCCCCATTTCCTTAATATGCAATTTGGGTGGGGGAACTACTGCCTGCTCCACCACAGCAGGCAGGCTCATCAGTCAGCCACTTAAATAGCTAATCCTAGACTGTATCTGATTAACTTGGGTACTGCGTGCAATTACAATAGAAACTACGGATCCAGTTCCCAAGCATGATATGAATGTTACTGTTGGCCAGAGGCAAGTAAATTGGAACACAGTTCATCCTATAGAATTTGGTGCATGTACATATTTAATTTTGTTCATTGACTAATGAAAGAGTTTAGTTCACAGAAGAAGTAAATATGTGTGCTATAAGCTACTCGGCATAATATATTGGTACCTGCTTCAGTGTCATGACAGGTTTTCCACCACTTATGTTTCCCTTCTCATCGTCAAACGCCAGCCAGTTCAAAGGGATTCTCTCACCCATGTAAGGCTCTTTCTTTGCTATGCTCTCAATGTGGTGGCGTAGCTTTTCAATCTGTGTCAGGATATAAAAAAATAACTCAAATAATATGGCGCTTATATAGCACCTCATACCAGTCTAAAAAACGCTTTGCGCTATAACATGCTGTTTTTTATTTCAGATTGTCATGTGACAAATACTCATTAAGTGTTCACCTAAAGGAACATTTAATTGACCACTATAATCAACATAAGGAAATGCACTGAATTAGTATTAACTGTTGTGAGAATGTTGTCAATACTGAGCTTAACATTCTCAATAAATCCTTTTTGGGAGGGGGGGAGCCTAATCCATGGTCATTGGTACAATTTATAATATATCCAACTTACCAAAATTACGGTAATCATGATGTAATTAAGGCAAGGGTTAGATAAAAGTTTGATCTCAGATGTCAGTCCCAATTCAGTTAAATATCTGATCATTCACACTTTTTTTTATATACTTGCTTGTATTCTTATTTGCTCAGCTAAATATCGGAACAGGCCTAAAATACCTTCAGGTTGTCTTCTAGAGAGTTCTCTACTGCGTAGAATTCAGAAACCACGTATCTGAAGTACGGCTTGTTATGGATCTCATGTCGTATCCGTTTAAATATCTCAGCTACCTACACTCAGACAAAAGACGGGGGAAAAGGTCAAAATAGATGGTGCTCTTTTTAAACAATGCAAATTCAAATAATTAACACTTCCTCATCGGTTCACTTGTCAAGCAGAAGTACTTTGATTCAGAAAGTGCGAACAATAATTTGAAAACGTTTTGATCGCCCACAAAGTTTTGGTGATGTATTTAGCTGCAACTTTTTGAAAAATATCTACTGGCACTCCTTTTTTCATCAGAGGGAGAAAAAAAAACATTTATCACTGGCAGTACTTAAGTACACACTGGGATGATTTTTTTTGCATCCACAACTTGTCATTACATAAAGTATACAGAAAGGTGGGACTTACCAAGCCTTTACGATTTTTTTCTGGCAAATTTTCCCCACCGACACTGTTTCTGTGTGTGCCAACTATGAAGATTGGTGGGGATTTCTGTTCCAATCTGTCTTTTGAGGAGTTTTCCTTGGTGTAGGTGAACATTGACTGCATCCAGAAATCCAGATACTGAATAGGGGTTGTCCTATATGTGATGGAACCGCCGCTCCCCTGGTGGTATCATACAAACGTGTTATCTTAGAGACAGTTACGGACAGGACAGTTTTAGTTAATACTTCTGGCCAGAACTTCATTAGAGACCACACCAGTGTAGCTCAAGCTATCAAGTGTACCCATCATAGGAAGCATGAACTGGAACGATGTATGACTTGCTGGCAGTTATGGGTGAATACGCAATACTAAAACTTGCACTTCTGTGTGAATTAAAAATCTGGGATGGGGTGTGACTAGTATATGGTTTGAAGATGGAGGAATAGTAACTGTTGAGTCATTCTTCAAATTCATATTCTACAATTTCCCAGGTTGCTATTTGTTTTAAGGACACTGTACATTTAATCTGCTGGTCTGTTTCATCATACTAACACGAAATAATAATGTGGAGTGCTGTGGTCTAATATGGTTACGGTGTTCGAATCATGTGCCGTGGTACATGGGTTCGAACCCTGACGGGGAACATAGTGCTTGTTTTCTTGGGTACTTTACTACGATTACCTCTCTTCACCTAAGAGTATAAATGGGTATCGAGCTGCTGCAGAACAATGGTGTCATTCCTGATGAACAGGGATAATAATTATCGTGAAGCGCTTTGACACCTTATAAGGCACAAGGCGCAATACATTACTATATACCAACATGTACATGTAATAACATTCACTGACTTGTCATGCTGCATGAACTTGTACATGTAAAGTGATATCTGGCAATCATTTTAAGGAATTGTGGCGCGCTCACTTGTCTATGGATGAGGAATTACACCCACACCAACAAGAGCTGACTATCCCACAAAAATATTTAATGACCTTACATGCGCATGAGCGCTTACACGCAAATAAGGGGGGACTACGTCACGAACGGAGGATTCAAGTCCTAGGCCTGTCCGTTTGTTGGAAATATACCAACGCTAAAGGAATACCAATTCACGTGGCAAGCAACCTAGAGGTGACCAGGGAACCTCAATAAACCTCACTACACATGTGTCTTAGAGAACAAGAAACAACTCTTTATTCGGTCCAAATACACAAGCTTAGGGTTCAATGAGTGGCCAATAAACCTCGCAGAACAACGTTCCCCGCTGCTCTAGGTTTATCCCTATAAAGTAAGCCTTACACAACAATAACCTTTTACTATACAATGCTTACAACAACCAGCCTAACCAGGCTCTATGTAATTAACCTCGTTGATTATCTAGAAAGATTATCCCACAGTGGCAAGAACCTCACTGTGCACACCCAGTGCGATCAACAGCAACAAGTTATGAACTGCACACACTGATCAAGACTTTACCAGAGTAACCCTCACATGCAACCTAGCATACAGAAATCACTGGGCTCAGGTTACGGAGCGCGGTTTATAACCCCGAGGTGACTCCTGGCGACAAAGGTCGACAGGCAACAGGCAACCCAATTCCCGACCAGGGAATACTGCTGCACATACCACACGAACCTTAGGTCTCCAGTCACCAGCTCAACCCACAGCCACCCAGGCTAATTTCCCCTTACAACAAAAGGTCTAGCTTGCTAATTATTACTCTAAAGTCTCACCATCCGCCCTTGACTTGCACGCCGCGTTGCCCAAACTATCTCTACGACTACACACGAGGTTTACTCGGATTCGGAGCTCAACGCTAAGTTTCCACTAATCGATGCTCACACAACGGCGTCTTTAGACGGACTGCCTACAAATCTCTGACTACGCGCTATACCCTACGCACGACGTCGGGGAACCAGGCGAGCCATGGTAAACTCGCACCAGTCCACCGGCTGTTTCGCCACATAGGGCCCAGCAAAGCTTAGGCCGCCTCGGCCTAAACAGCTTAAAAATACATAATTAGAAACAGTGTGGACTACTTGTCCATTATACAAAATAACATACACCTCACACTTGAGGTTTACTTATACAGTAGTAAATAGTCCGCGAGGTTCACTAAATAGAAGATACATTTAAAACACATAACGCCATAAACCTTATATAAAATACACATGCATAAAAATAGAAACTTTATATAAAACATAACAGCCTAAACCTGTTCAACACCGGTAGAAAAATACTCTTTTTTTCTCTTTTCTTAATTAGAAGAATCACGAGTTGAATTAAGGAATTTTACACCATTGGAATGTTTGATGGCAAGATTACAGTTTGTTTCTTGGGGGATGGATGTCTAGTCGGCTGGCTCCACAGTGAACAGTTCCGCATCAACAGGCTGATTATGCAGTTCGACCCGTTCCTCCCGCTGTACGTCCAGGTGAACATACTTGGAATGTCGTTCCTCCACCAGAGCGATCCTCAGGCGCTTCCCCTCTACTCTATCGATATCTGACCGGAAGCTTATGCTCTCTCCTTGGATATCGTCTGGAAACCTCAACCTCCTTGTTAGGTCCATTACTTGTAACCTGTTGGTTGCTCGGGCGAGTCTCAGGCATCGCAGCGGACTCCATCCCATCTTGCCCCATATCACCACTTACAGTAGGGTCATCCGCAGCAACCTCATGTGCGTCACTTACAGCTGTCCCAATTTCAGCAACCTCGTGTGCGGTATCCTCAGAGCTTTCTGTCACTCTATTAGGTCGATACACCCACGGCTGCAAGTTGTCGCCAGAATAGGGCTTCAACCTATCTGCGTGAACCACGAGAGACTTACTCCCTTTCCTCAACTGAACCCTGTAAGTCACATCGGACAACTTCTTCACGACCAAATATGGCCCCTCCCGGCGTAGCTGTAGTTTAGGAGTGACACCCTTCTTCCTGGAATGGCTAAACAACCAAACAAACTGGCCCTCTTTCAGGCCTTCCCCAGCAACCTTGCGGTCGTAGTTTCGCTTCTGTCGGCGGGCACTCTGCTTCAGACACTCACTGGCCCGGCAATGGGCCTCCTGCAACCTACGTCGCAACTCCCAAGCAAAATCAGTCTCGACCACCTCCTCGACTTCAGGACACTCAACCATCAAATCAACAGGCAACGTCACCTCACGTCCCAACATCATCATGTTAGGTGACTCACCGGTGGATTCTTGTGGACTGCAACGGTAAGCAAAGGTCGCGTAGGGTAGACACTCGTCCCAGTCCCTCTGCTTCCTCTTAGGCTCAATCAGCATGGAAACAATGTTAACCAACGTTTTGTTGAAACGCTCTACCATCCCGTCAGATTTCGGGTTGTAAGCCGTCGTCCTCGTTTTCTTGATTCCTAGGACTCTACACATCTCCGCAAAAACTGCAGACTCAAAATTGCTCCCCTGATCAGAATGAAGCTCCCGCGGGACTCCAAAACGGCATACAAACTCAGTGACAAACTTTGATGCCACTGACTTCGCCCTTGCATCGGGAAGTGGATAAGCCTCCATCCACTTGGAGCAATAGTAACCAACAACAAGAATCCACACATTTCCACTGTCACTCTGGGGCACAATTCACAACATCGAAGGAAGGACCTCACATCGGCCGTCATGTTCGGCCAATAGTAACGTAACCTCACCTTGGCCAATGTTTTTCTCATGCCAAGATGACCACTCGTCCGTCCACCATGAAGTGCTTGCAGAACATCACTCCGGAGCTTTTCCGGCAACAACAACTGCCAGCGGATTGACCGACCATCATTGGATTCCCACCTCCGGCTCAGCATTTGTTGCCGCACCTCCATTTGAGCCCACATAGACCAAAGCGTCTTATGGGCCTTGGAAGTGTGTGAGACACTACTCCAGTCCGGCCGACCCCTCGCACCTTCCTTTGCCTCGATCAACCACCTCATATCGGGATCTGCCATCTGTGCCTCCCTCACTACCGCTTGAGATAGATGAGGCTCAGCAAGAATTCCCCTCACTGCTGACTCGGCAACCTCTGAGACTCCTGAGACAGACTCTGTAGAAGCCTCACAGGCCTCAACAGTTTCGGACACCTCACCAGGGTCCGCCTCACCAGGGTCTTCACTACGCCCACACTGCTTGCACTGCCTGCGGGACAGAGCATCTGCGTTTGCATGTTTCCGTCCAGCCCTGTGCTGAATTGACACGTCATACTCAGAAACCACCTCTAGCCACCTCGCAAGCTGGCCCTCAGGATTCTTGAAGTTGAGCAACCACCTCAACGCAGCATGATCCGTTCTCACGGTAATCTTGCGACCATACAGATATTGCTTGAAGTGTTTGAGATAAACTACTACAGCCAGCAGCTCTTGCCTCGTGACGCAATAGTTTCTCTCAGCCTTGCTCAGCTTACGGCTTGCATAGGCCACTACCTTCTCCTCCCCCTGTTGGACTTGGGACAGGACCGCCCCTATCCCAACTCCACTCGCATCTGTATCCAAGATGTAGTCACCAACAGACAAGGGATAAGCCAGAACAGGAGCCTCCTGCAGTCTTTGTTTCAATTCCTCAAAGGCCTGTTGACACGCCGCTGTCCAAAGAAACTCCCTAGACTTCCCTGTCAACTCATGCAGCGGAGATGCAACTTCCGCAAAACCCCGGATGAACTTCCGGTAGTAGGAAGCAAGTCCTAGAAAACTCCTTACTTCCTTGACACATTTCGGGACCGGCCAATCGGCCACAGCTGACACCTTTCCAGGATCAGTTGCCACACCTTCGGCCGACACAATGTGGCCAAGGTAACCTACTGACCGCTGAAACAGACTACACTTGCTGGGCTTCAGCTTAAGTCCAGCCTCTCGCAGTCTCTCGAACACAACCCTGAGACGCTGTACCTCTTCCTCCACAGTCTTCCCAAAGACAATCACATCATCAAGATAAATCAAGAGGATGTCCCACTGGAGACCAGCCATGACCTTCTCCATTAGTCTTTCAAATGTCGCCGGAGCATTGCAAAGGCCGAAAGGCATGCATTTCCACCTATACAAACCGTTGCGAACAACAAAACTCGACTTCTGGCTGGCGTCCTTGTCAAGGGCGACCTGCCAATAGCCCGAGGCCAAATCGAGTGTGGAAAACCATTGAGCTCCCCCTAACGCATCCAACGTCTCATCTATCCTGGGAACAGGGTAGGCATCCTTGATGGTACATGCGTTCAGGCCTCTATAGTCGACACAAAACCGCTTCGTACCATCTTTCTTCTTGACCAAGACAACGTTGGCAGCCCAAGGACTATCCGACGGCTCGATGACACCCCTCTCCTCCAGGTCACGGACTTGCCTCATGATCTCCTGTTGATTACAACTCGGGTGACGCCTAGGCCTCTCTTTAATTGGCCCCGCACCGCCCGTGTTAATGTGATGCTCCACAACCTCGGTCCGACCAATATCGTGCTCACCCCGAGAAAACACATCATTATACTCCGACAGACACTTCATCACCTGATGATGATCCTCATCCCTCAGAAACCTCACGCTTCTATTGTACAGGTCCCGTAGATGTTTAGGGAGGTTACGCTCAACCTCGCTTCTTCTACAGGGAATATCATGACCACGGTCAACCTCAGCCTGACAAACCATCCCTACGGTGGTACCCCGCCGCACGACGCGCTTCTCCCTACAAGGGTTAAGCACCCGTAGCGGCAACACGTCCAAGTCACCCTCAACCAGTGACCTAGCAAGGACTAAACCTCGCTGTGCTAACTCACCGCCACCCTCCACAGGCTCAACAAGAACAGGACCCTCAACAACCTCACACAACCTTGAAATGGTGCCGGGCACCACAGCCTCATGGCCAGAGGGAATCTCCGTAGTCTCAGTGACAATTACCCTCCCCACAAACGACTCACCAGCACTATTAGTGCATTTAATGTGCTCACCATTTAACCTCAGTTGAAGAGATTGCAGATCCAAACTCGCACCCAAGGGCAACAGGAAATTCATCCCCAGAATTCCTGAATACGGGACATCGGCAAAGATCACCTTCGCAGTGGCTACTGTCTTCCCTATCTGTACCTCCACCCAGGCAGCCCCAACCACTGCCAACGGACTACCATCAACTTGCTCCACCTTCAGTCCTGTCTCCAAAATTGGTCTCTGTTCCCGTGGAATTTGGTGATACACTATGCTGCTCACCACAGTGTCGGTCGACCCGGTATCGATGAGAAACCTACACTTGGTGCCCCGTATCGTTCCATCCACGAACAAACCATATTTTGCCTTTCCCCCACCCATGGGGCCTGCGACCACTACTTGGTCGCTTGCCCCACCTGAGGGTCTCTTCTGACTACAACCTCCTGTGGGCTCTGTGAACTTTCCAGCCTGCCCGCGAGCCCGCCGGTCGGCTGGACGGCGTTTCCCTGCTTGTAACCTTGCTTCGGCCGCAGCCCCTTACATGCTCGCCGGAAATGACCTGGTTCACCGCAGTTATAACACCTCAGACCACCTCGCTCCTTCTTAGGAGTTTTAGGTGATTTCGACGGAGACACTACCATCTCAATTTTATCACTTTGCTTCTGCTTCGACAACTCAGAAAACAATGACTCGACCATGGAACACACCCTCTTTTCGATGGCATGCCCCATCTCCTCAAGCCTATCCTCCGGACTACTGTCGAGTGCTCTCGCAAACTTGGTCGGCTTGCTATCTTGCCTCCGCTGCTGCTCAACTCTTTCAAAATTCTCAGTTTCCAGTGCCGCCCTAACAGCTTCATCAAGACCTCTTGGACGGGCTCGGTGAATGCCCTCCCGCACTGACTGACTCTCTACAGCATCCATGAAATGATTCTTGGCAAGCCTATCCCTGGCTTCTTCCTGTATCTCAGGATAAGCCTTCACCGTCAACTCTCTAATAGCCTGACCCAACTCACGAAGAGTCTCCTTTGGTTTCTGCCGACGATGCCGTAAATCCACCAAAAAGTTCTCAGCTTGTTGACTATGACCAAACCTCTGCTGTAACAACTTCACAAGCTCACCATAGGTGTGCACGCGACCAGACGGTGCACCCTCACCAATCAACCTCAGTGCACTACCCTGTAAACTTGCGGACAAGTACTTGACAGCCTGCAAATCGGTCCAACCATTCACTTCCCGACAGGATTCAAAATGCCTGAAATACTCATTCCAAACAACCTTCCCGTCATACCTGTCTGGCACAATGTGAGGGCGACGTGACGTCCCACTCACAGACCCCGGACAATTAACCTCACCAACTACCCGCGGCTCCCTCGTGAGTTTCCAAGGAACTGCTTCAGCGTCACTGCAACTCTCTGTGAGGTTGCTAGTACACCTCGTTGGCGGTCGTGTCGCAAAACTCATTAAGTCCGCATGCAGCGTCCGAGCATCACTCGCAACAGCCCCTACAAACGGATTTGTGACTGGACTCAGTCCAAAATCACCACCAGACCTGACCCCAGGCGAAGACTTTCCCTGTGGTGTACTGGTACTAAGGTTCGCCCCACCAGGTTTAGCCAAACCTCCTTTGGGTTCACCCTCAAATGAAGCATACCCCGAGGTTTCCCTCGGCAACCTGAAATTGATCTCCGAATCAACCTCAGACCGAACACGACCCTCTTCAGCAGGCGTGCTCGAAGTTTTTCCCTTTCGGAAGTTCCGCCGTAGCTCAGCTTTCAACTGTTGAACCTCCCATTGCAGTAATTGATTCTCTGCCTCCAGGGACTTGTCAGCGTTAAGTCCCGGGAAATCAACCTCACCCGAAGTGACAACACTAACCTTTGAAACTGTCGCTCATACTGACGTCTGCAACCGACAACAGTTGCAGTGAAAACCAGAACAACCAAAATGAGTGCAATCAATAACAAAAAAATATTGACGACAACACCTCACAAGAGGGTTATTAAACCTCAGCAACCTTACACAGGATGCTGTCAACCTCGTGAAAAGTAAAACTAAAGCATCCCACTTCTGACACCATTTGTGGCGCGCTCACTTGTCTATGGATGAGGAATTACACCCACACCAACAAGAGCTGACTATCCCACAAAAATATTAAATGACCTTACATGCGCATGAGCGGTTACACGCAAATAAGGGGGGACTACGTCACGAACGGAGGATTCAAGTCCTAGGCCTGTCCGTTTGTTGGAAATATACCAACGCTAAAGGAATACCAATTCACGTGGCAAGCAACCTAGAGGTGACCAGGGAACCTCAATAAACCTCACTACACATGTGTCTTAGAGAACAAGAAACAACTCTTTATTCGGTCCAAATACACAAGCTTAGGGTTCAATGAGTGGCCAATAAACCTCGCAGAACAACGTTCCCCGCTGCTCTAGGTTTATCCCTATAAAGTAAGCCTTACACAACAATAACCTTTTACTATACAATGCTTACAACAACCAGCCTAACCAGGCTCTATGTAATTAACCTCGTTGATTATCTAAAAAAATTATCCCACAGTGGCAAGAACCTCACTGTGCACACCCAGTGCGATCAACAGCAACAAGTTATGAACTGCACACACTGATCAAGACTTTACCAGAGTAACCCTCACATGCAACCTAGCATACAGAAATCACTGGGCTCAGGTTACGGAGCGCGGTTTATAACCCCGAGGTGACTCCTGGCGACAAAGGTCGACAGGCAACAGGCAACCCAATTCCCGACCAGGGAATACTGCTGCACATACCACACGAACCTTAGGTCTCCAGTCACCAGCTCAACCCACAGCCACCCAGGCTAATTTCCCCTTACAACAAAAGGTCTAGCTTGCTAATTATTACTCTAAAGTCTCACCATCCGCCCTTGACTTGCACGCCGCGTTGCCCAAACTATCTCTACGACTACACACGAGGTTTACTCGGATTCGGAGCTCAACGCTAAGTTTCCACTAATCGATGCTCACACAACGGCGTCTTTAGACGGACTGCCTACAAATCTCTGACTACGCGCTATACCCTACGCACGACGTCGGGGAACCAGGCGAGCCATGGTAAACTCGCACCAGTCCACCGGCTGTTTCGCCACAGTATTTTAAGGATGAGTGAAACAGCCTAATTAGAATTTTGCCTATTCATTCTGCAATTACGTTTTAAAATATTGTGATATTTTGTAAGAACAATGTACATGTAGTTGTTCTTAACTGCCATCAACATGATGACCAAATTGGCAAGAAATCAATCAGTCCATATAAAAGTATGTTTTCTAAGTATAAAAAACAAAGCACCGGTAGGCCAAACAGTGGCCGGCAGAGAAATATGAGCACATATAATTAATGTGACACAAATGGTTTGTTCGGGATATATATATCGTTTCGAAAGGTGTTCAATTGTTGTCTTTTAACTAATTTAGATCACTACTGAAACACGATAAAGCTATTGTTCTGAAACTAACTTTTGATACGTATCTCGTTACATGCAAGATAATTTGTGCTTACATCTTTACATCTTACCTCATCCTGGACTGGCACTGGTTTGTCAAGATCTTGACAGAGGTTGAAAACAACCAGGTAGATCGCCCGGGAAGACAGAAATGTCTACAAGAAGATTAAATGTACTTAATTGCATGTATATTCAAACAAAAGGAAAGTTGAAAAGAACATTTAGAAATGCACATTTGCAAATACTGATGGCTTTAAGTTTTGGAGAGGTACCTTTGAAAAGATCAATAAGGAAAGTGTTCTGGTTATTCCCCCCCCCCCCAAGAAAACTGGCAATCATTAAATGTTTTCAACTGCATAAAAGGTAGGCTTTCATTGGGTAGTGCCATATAGTGTAGAAGACTTTTTTATTTAATTATTTGAAGTTCCATACAATTCGATCAATTTCCCAAAAAGTTCAAATAAAGCTACAGATTTGCGTTTGTTGAGTTACAAACGCTCGTTGATCTGGCCGGAAACTATTTCATTGTACAATGCCCAGTTGTGAATATTTTAATGTCAGAACAGAAAAAAAATGAAATTCAGCCTTTTCAGTAAACTCATCCTTTTTATTTGAAAAGAAAATGCATCTGTTAGCCTGTTTGGGGTATGATAAATGTCAGTACATTTTATGTACACGTATACTACACGTTATTTCCGGTTTGAATGGTTAAAATGTGCAAAATAAATACTGATTTAGTTTAGAGGGGATACATGTTCATCATGGTGGGGAAACTTAAACATGTGATGTCTGGTCTAGATAGCCACCCCTATTTTCAAATTGAAACGGAGAGTTTCAGGGTATAAAAGGAAGGCTGTTCAGTTTGGCCTGCAACGTGCAGTCTCGAGTCTTTTGAGTTGAGCATGAGAAGGAATCGAGCAGTAAAATGCATGGGCATACTTGGTGATATTAAAAAAGTTGGCATATACATGTATACGTGCTCTTTGGGTGTAACCAGTGGCAAAGCCACCGGGGGGCGTGGAGGGGGGGGGGGCGACCGCCCCCCCATAAAACCTTGTCGCCCCCCAGTCGCCCCCCCCCCCCCACTGAGATTTTGAGTTTCTAACAAAAATATCATTGATCTCAATCTAAATAGTCGCGAACGATTCACATTATGACCACTGAGAAACGATTCTTCGACCGGCGACCGCGGACCAGTAAGCTGACAACCGGCGTGACATAGCGCATAATGATAATCTAAAATGCGTATTAACACCTACTGCACTGCTCGCTCACACCACGGAACACGTATTATAGACAGGTGGTCCGTGGGTCACACAGTTTCAGTCAGCGATATCACGGGAATCGGCCACGCACAAACTTTTTCCTCCATTCATATAAGCTAAATAATAATAATAGACCAATTATAATTCCTTGAAATCAGTGGTGGGGGGGGGGGGGGGGGGGGGGGGGGGGGGGGGGCGGGGCGAGCCCCCCCCCCTCCCATGAAACCTTGTCGCCCCCAGTCGCCCCCCCCCCCTCTGAGATTTTGAGTTTCTAAAAAAATTATCATTGATTTACATGACGCCATGGGCGTCAATCCTGGGGGACACTTTTGAAGGGTGGGGGACACAACATCAAATGTCCCCCACCCCCAGAGAAAATAGAAAATATTGGTTAAAGAGGTCAAAAATTGCCTCAGATAGCACCAAAGAGCATTTAGAATCCAAATTTTTTCGGGGCCCTTAAGCGGGCCCCGAACCCCACGCCTATAGCTCAGAATTCTGGTAGCTGATTCAATGACTCCAACCTCGAAAACAATGTTCAAATTTTTTTCTGATGCCTTTAGCTGAGGAAACTTAGAAAATTATGTTTAAATTTTTTATCTTTTGTGCTAAGATAATTGTTGGTTAAAGTGGTAAGAAATTGCCTCAGATCACACTACAGAGTATCGGGAATCCAATTTTTTTCGGGGCCTTTCAGCGGGCCACGAACCCCACGCCTATAGCTCAGAATACCGATAGCTGATTCAATGACTCCAACCTCGAAAACGATGTTCAAATAATTATCTTTTGCTAAGAAAATATTAGTTAAAGCATGGAGGAAAGTGGTAAGAAATTGCCTCAGATCACACCACAGAACATCTGGAATCCATTTTTTTCGGGGCCCTTAAGCGGGCCCCGAACCCCCACGCCGTAAAGGCTTCGCGCTTCGCGCTGGTATCAGTTCTGATCAAGGTATGTCTCCCCCCCCCCCAATTTTGAGAAGCGATTGACGCCCCTACATGACACCCCCAATGAAATGTTCCAGCCCCCCCCCCCCCCCCCCCCCACTGAAAAATTCCTGGCTACGCCAGTAGGTGTAACACACTGACAAACAGATTTTAAATTTGAATTGATAATTTTCTGGCATTACAACAGTCATGAGCTTTCCAAAGAGACATAGAACGAAACAAAATTAATTAATTTATTTGAAGTTTTGAATTAAGAGCGGGACTCGCCTTATTTCGGTCTGAAGCCAGTAGGACCTAGTGTGCGCATCGCATTTGCGACAGTGCAGTTTATTAATATTAGGTGGAGCTGTACAGACCATGGAGCTAACTGTACATATAATGTGCATGCATAATGCAGTACTTGTGTCTATACGGTATACGCATGCACGTCGTCGTGTAGACTTGATGACAAGTCGTTAGATAGTTGCATTTTGTCCCTAAACTTCAGTCAAACTCCATCGGCACGGATGGTATAAGACTAGTACGTCATCGACCGGGTTGCGTTTATTATGTCTAGCTTTGGGTTCAATACAAGTTGCGGCTGCGACATATCTAACGTCTTGGCGATCACGTTCTTGCACCGGTATTCATATATGCGATCAGCGCAATGCATATGCAGTGCATTTTTGCGGTGCAGTGAGATCCAATCGCCCACCGCTATGCAAATGAGGATTCATTCATTCCGTTAGGGCCCTGTCACACTTCTGCTTATCCTAATTCCTTATGAGTTGCGCATTGACTTTTTTTTCATACGCAGTCGTACGCACAACACGCACCTCATATGCATCTCTGTTGTTTTGTGTAGGTTTTATGTACGCAGATATACGCATGGTACGGCCCAGTACGCAGGATAGTTTTGGGCATGCACACAACTACGCTGCGTTCGCTGTTACGCAGGTCATAAGTTATAAATACGCAGCGCATCGGTCCCGCATAGGTCGAGTGCGTTACGAGTACGATATGTGTTCGTGACGCACCCTGTCAGCATATGAGCCGCCTGTATTGGACGTATACATAGCGTACTTGCAGCGCAGATGCAACGCACGCTGGACGGCGAGCGGAGGAAATGCGGCGGGATACGCTCAGAAGTGCGTCAAGCATGCGGTCGGCATAAGTCGGTTGCATCCGGAATACGCTCGGCATGCGCACTGCATACTGACCTATTCGCAGCCCGAAAAATAATGTTGTGCACTGCAGACGGAACTCATACGCATCTCATACGCAATGGATGCGCTGAATTCGTTACTTGTACGCTAGATGTGCGTCGCTCATAAGTCAAAGTGATCAAAACATTTCGACGTTAATTGAGCGTACGACTGCGTATTGAAATTTTTTATAAGGAACTCATAAGGAATTAGGCTACGCAAAGGTCTGACAGGGGCTTTACATGGGGAGTTCTTCTCAATACGTCGGGGGCATGTTTGCAGATTTGGCGACGTTTAAACGACTAATATACTCAGCTAGGTCAATTGTGTATTAAAATGAAATGTGTCATTGTGATATACTTGATTTATTTGAATCGTGCATGTCATACAATGATTTTGTAATGTTACACAACACAAAGTGCAAGCCCTCGAAGTAATAGAATGATCTTCCGTGGCGGACTAGAATACACTCTGGAATCTGAACCAATCAGAATGCTTGCATAGAATTCGCTAGCGATTCAAAATACTCACGTATGATGTGTACAAAATTAAAAACACATTCGCAAAGTCTGTAATTGGACATCAATAGTCAGCATCATTTGGTCTGGGAACCAGACTACGCCCACTGCATCCAGCGATATATATTGTGCGTGCGTGGAGCCAGTAACCGGTTACCGTTCACAAAACAATTACCGACTTGGCACCAAGTCTAGGTGTCGTGCCGCAAAAAAACACGGGTTTGCGATTCAGTGGAGAGAGAAAAAAGGAAAACAATTGCATAGATTCTGATAGAACAAAGGAGTGCGGTACAGGCCTGGCTGCACGTAGGCCGACTATGATCACCAAGCATGCAGTGTCGCGAACCAGCCCAGCGATCATCGCGGAGCTGGGATCGGTGGACCAGGCGAATACAAAACGCATTATTCCAAAAAAAACAAACATACATAATGTATAAACAGTATCATTAGATACGAATATTTATAACATTTCGCTCAAAACTTTTGAACTGGAGCGCGCTATGTAAAACCGCTTTTTTTTTAACTGTGTAAAGGCCTGCAAAACAAACAAGCAATTTTGTTTGTTACAGGACACTAGATTCCTTTAAATTTTATTTGGAAAAGAAAATCGAAACTTTGCAAAAGCACTTATATACCAACGTATTTTCAGTTAATACCGTATCCAGAAATGTCCTGAATAAAACTGTTTTTTAAATATAAACTCTCTATTTAATCGTTGAAACTTGTGCACAACAACTAGAAATCCCGAATAACGAGGCTGTTCATGTACATAGGTGTAAATAATAGAGGACAATATGGTACACAATCCCCGAAGGTCCACAATTCGTTGCTTTTTTTCATACTGTCGAACAGGCGCAGTGCAACCTGTTCGCCAGTATGGAAAAAACGCGACGAATTGACGATCGTGTTAAAAAAATATAGGTCTTCCTAAAAAATTAAAGCACAAACTAAAGAGGGACAATAGGAGCCCACAATACACGCTTGCGTGTGTATGTGTGCGTGACAGGCCGTAGGAAGTACTACGGCAGGTACGGCTGTAGCCGCACCAATAATAACAGGCCTATTTTTTTAATGTATGAAAGGCCTTGCATGGCCCCAAGAGCGGATTTTTTTTTAGGTTTCTAGATGCTCTGTGGTGCGATCTGAGTCTATTTCTGACCTCTTTAACCATTTTTTTTTAAGGAACAGATGGTGGTGTACACAGTGCCTGCCTTTATTGCGATGGCACTAAAAAAAAAAAAAAGGTTTTTTTTTGGGGGGGGGGGGCTTTTTTTAGGGGCGGGGGGAGGGGAGGTGCATGGCCCCTGTTGCCCTCCCCCACATTTTTCTTGGTTTCTTTTTGTGTTTTGTTTTGTTTTTGTGTTTGTGTTTAAAGGGAAAGGGCGTACATATTAAGTTAAACGGAATGGCGTTTGGCCACCACCATGAATTTTCGTTTTCCTCAGACTTGTGCTTGTGTTTTCTTAAAAAGAAGTGGTTTTCTAAATGAGAAAATAGCAAGAAAGAACCAGTTTTGTGCAAGCAAAATTATGGGAATAATCCGTTGAAGTTAATATCTTGTTGGAAAATTCCAAAATCATTCAAAGAAAGTAATTACCGCCGTGAATCAGAGTTTGTGAAGGGACGGAAAGTGGGATTTGCTATCAACAAGGCCGTTCGTCATTCTTTACTTTATTGGATGTGAATCAAACTGGAGGACGAGAGACTCTGCGAGCTGATGCATATTTTTAGAAAGAGGAGAAAAATAACAAATACGCTCAGCAGTTCAATCATGTCCATACACTGTCATCCATACCTGTGAATTAAGTCTTAAATAAACGGAAATCTTCCCTACAAGCTGATTGCACAAAAAAAAATGCTTTCTAAAAAATACATCAGCCCGCAGGGCCTCTCGTCCTCCTATTTAATTTACATCCCATCAAAGGTAAATAATGAGGAACATCCTTGTTGATGCTGATAGCAAATCCCACTTTCCGTCCCTTCGTAATCTCTGATTCACGGCGGCAACTTTCTTGAAATTATTTTGGAATTTTCTAACAAGAAATTAGCATCAACGGATTATTCCCTGAAATGTGCTTGCACAAAACCGGTTCTTTCTTGCAATTTTTCTCAGCTAGAAAACCACTTCGTTTTAAGAAAACACAAGTACAAGTCTGAGGAAAACTAAAATTCATGGTTAAATTCAATTTAACTTAACTTGTAGTGCATGGCGACATGAATGATTACGCCCTTTCCCTGTGAACACAATCATGGATCAAGATAAAGAGCGATGACCCACCCACTAAAACACGAATACACTTCATTCAAAAAGTCAGGGGAAAGTGGCAAGGAAATGCCTCAGATTGCACTACAGAGCGTCTAGATCCAAAAAAGATTTGCGATGAGCAATTGTCCAAAACTTTTCACTGCGATAGGCCAAATTTTGATGATTTAATTTTGACAATTTATGTAAAGTTCATCAAGTGACATATACTGGTTAAACTTGCAGTTGTGGAGTGCTCCAAAAGGTGTCCTGTACTAATTACGAAGAATAGAATTCCCTATGCGTGCACATGTATCTCTGTACAAATATTGATAGTGTTTGGGGAGAGGCTTTCGGTTACATTTATTTTGGGAGGGATTGGGTTAAATCCTGGATCCGCCTCTGCAGGCCTGCCATTGGAGTTGGCAGGCTGCAGCCAACTCTCACGCATTGAGCGTAACACTCACACATTTCAGGTTATTCTCATGCTCTAACGCCGACATTGGATTTCTCACGCTAAGAACATATGTTTAAATAATGATAGCTCAAAAAAGGGTTAAAATGATCAGAAATTGCCTCAGATCGCACCACAGAGCGTCTAGAATCCAAAATTTGTGGGGGCCTTTAAGTGGGCCCCGAACCCGACGCCGTTAGTGCTTCGCGCTACGCGCTCGCATCAACTCAGCTCCCTGCCATGAGATGAGCCTGTACAATTATTGTTAGCTTCCTACGGGCCTGGTGCGTGTCCTGGGAGGATTAAATGGACTTAAATCAGTTTTTGACCCTAGTGACCCCATTTTCCAGGACTGCATTAAATTGGTGGACACAACAGAGGGCCAGAGCACGATTTGATATATACCCAGGTGATTTATACCCTTGCAAGGCTGGAATGTTTGTTTACTATTAACTAACCACCCACCTACCCACCCAACGACCCACCCAATCACCCACGCTTACATAGGCATAGAAGTGGGGTACTTCCTTTGTTCTCGTGTACTAAAATTTTGCAAAGTCGCACACTTATGTCAAAATGCTATTATTGTAACCATAATTAATTTCCTGGGCTGAAATTCGGACTCAATATCTCTTTTCTAAAACTCAATCAACCCACCTTGGAAATTCCTAGTTTTTGATTAAAATCCATATATCTATTTTGTGAAAAACTTGTGGGGTACCAAAACAATACCCCGCAAGTCGGTGGGTATTCCTTGTGGTGTACCTCCCATTGTTCCGGTACCCCATAAGGCAGTGTTTGTACACGCACCCAGCCCCACCCGCCCACCCACCCACTCACCCACCCACACAGCCACCACCCCCACCCACCCAACCACCCACCCACCCACCCACCCACCCACCCAACCACCCACCCACCCACCCACCCACCAACCAACCCGCCAACTAACTAACGGAGAGACACGACGACTTGAGCTGCTGTCCGCAGCTAGAAATAGAGCTTACCTGGTGCGTCGTGTAGTACAAATCTTGGCCGGCAAAGTCCCAGATATTGAGTGTAGGCTGTTCTGCATTCTGTTGTGTATTTACTCCCTCAGACATTGCCTTTTCAGCGATTTTGGATAACCTTGATACCGGTATATGTTTTCCACCAGATGTTGACTCTACCGTAGTGCCACTTGGTTGTGTTTCAGTCTGGGTTTGTGAAGCTATCATACAATCAGTTAATTGGTTGAACAATGTTTAAAAAACATCACATTGCTTTCAGTCCCTATTAAAATGCACAACTGTGTAACTTCACAATTGCAGTTGCAACAGCAAGTTGTGGATGTGGTTGAGTATGTAGAACGGTCCTGTTGCGTTTGTGGTTGAGACGTGAACCCATTTGGGGTCTAAACACTCTTATTTGAATGAAATGTGAAAACATAACAGTTCTTAACATGATAATATTGCTAACCTGCTGATGATGATTGTAGTTGGTGTGTAGTGGTAGGCTGCAATGGTTCCATATCAATGTGCTAACAAGAAAAAGCATAACTACTGTGTCACATTCATTGAGCAATGTGAAAGCTTTCGGGACATTAGAAAATACAAGTGTACATAAACCTGCAATGAGAGTTTTGGCACTCTTCCGAATTTGCAATTGTATTTAAACATACTTTATAATACATGCACCATATGTAAAATATCCCCAATATATGTGGTTGAAAAGGGGAATTAACTACAAGGGTCCCTTTGTTATCCTTAATGCTACTTCGTGGCCCATATTGTAAAAGATACAAGAATGATGTAATGCCCCGCTGAGTCCATTTTTAAAACAATAATTACCTTAACCTTTACATATGGGGCCCACAGCTTAAAGTCTATTAAGGGGCTCCAAGACCAACCCTCATACATGTACGAAGTTTGAATTTGATATTCTGCATGTCTATACTTTTTTATTAAAAAGGGGGCTTTTCTGATTGAATAGTTATGATGAAAGTTTAATTTGGAGAGAAAAAAAAAGCTGACTCTGTTAAAACAAACTTTAGTACACCCCAACAAACTGTGTTACAACAACCGGAAAGTTTCGGTAATAGTGAACATACACTATCGTTGGCAACTCAGCATAAAATGGGATCATGCTCCACTTTATGTAAAACTATATAACAAACATTTCCGGCTGAGTTTGTACAGACAGTAGTCAACTGTGTATTTCTATTGCTGTGCTGTTGGTAACTTACTTTATCTTTTTCTTTTTCGAGGCCAATCATCAACTCGCGATTGAGGCTGGTTGAATCACCTATACAATTTAAACGAAACAATTTAAAAGGTACACCGACTCACTAGAAAAATAAACCTACAAACAGTCTTGCAAATAAATTGGGAAAAGGGCATAACAATGCCAACCAAAAAGTGAACGCGCTGTAAATTGCCAAAGTGAACGCGATTTATAACAAACATCACAAACGTTCAAACTGTCGGCTTTTCCTAATGCCTCCTACAGGCTACCAAAACGTAGGTACATAACATAATTTTCGGAAAACTGTGTATATGTATTGTCTAACCATATGCATTGTCCATTTTGTCTAACCCGGATCACTTGTCTAACCCAACTACATTGGGACGTCAAAAACTTCCTATGAAGCGTCCTGTGGCAATTAATAACAGTCCTTAAGTCTACAAGAAGGCTACAAACAAAATGTTCATAAACTTAAACAAACAAAAAAGGGCTTAGATTTTCAGCAAATTAATTCAAAAATGGGATTCTTTCTTTTGCTCTGTATATGATTTTTTCTTTTCATTTGGTAATAATTTCGAGGTTTTAACACTTGTATTCATAACGATGTGCAGCGATAATGGCACCCTTGTGCCTTCTGCCTGTATGCCACCCCTAGTCAGTTTTTAGAAAACAGTGTAACATTTAAATAAAAAATACACTTATGTATTCCCGTTTGATGATCCCTCGTCATGCATTTACAGCACGTCATTAGGAGTTAATACGGTGTAATATAGTTTACAAGCACGGAAATTTAACATGTCTGTGCCAAGGTCGATCGAGAGACTTTTAGGCTTGAACAAGGGCGGATCCAGAAGTGGTGGTGGGGGGGGGGGGGGCACAGGGGCCACCCCCCCCCTAAAAAAAATAACTACCAAATTTTAGTTTTTTGTAACTTTGCAAAAAGGCAGCCTTTGGGTACACCACCCACAAAAATCAATAAAAGCAATTCATATGCAACCCTTTCCCTTGCTTTTCATATTACATTTTGGGCGGAAAAGTTCGTCACCGATACCACGAGGTAACACCCTAGATCACATAAGAGCTACTCTGTGACAACCGCTCAATTAATTTTTTGGTTTTACGACATAACACTCAACTGTGCGCCCGCATATCGGACACTCGCGCGAAAGATTTCGTTTTCACAAAGTTACAACACTTGTACGGAAAAGCTATTTGGATAAAAACGTTTGAAAACGTTTGACAAGAATGTGATTAACCCGTATTATTATAGGATTGCAAAAACAAAAAAATAATAAAAAAGTTTTCAAGCTGGTGAATTTAAGATGAGTGTTACTTTGTGAAAACGAAAATCACTTGTTTCTGTTAAAATACGCGCGCGCGGTGCAAACTCAAGTCCACTTGCAACTTCGTGGTGTCGCTCACTATTTCTTGACCCACTTTTTTGGGACCAAACACTCCCCCCCCCCCCAGAAAAAAATTCTGTTCTGGGTCCGGCCTTGTGCAGGGAGAAATGAAAACTGATAGCGCTCAAATTACATGGACATTGCTTAAACGTTTTGTCTTTCACCAACATAGTCTTAAAGCACTGTGCACATTATAGCACTGTCCATGGCGTGCAGGCTGTAAATGCACACCCAATGCTAATTTGATCAAGAAAGTTGGCAAAATGCGCGCCAACGACGAAGGGTAAAGCTTGGTTCTACAGAAAAAATGGCTTCAAATACCCCTAAGACAAAATGGTCTCATGCTATTAGTTTACACATCTTCTTGCCAATTTTATAGGTGGCGCATTATCACCTTGTTCCAACTTAGCTCTCGAAAGAATTAATTTGTGCGAACATGGTGTGATATCAGTAGGCCTACGTCTCGGGTCTGTTCACCAGATACACCGTATGGGTTGCGGGTGTCCAATTATAAGAGGGTGTTCCTTGCTATATGTTAGGTTAACAATGCCCATCCAAACGGTAAAAAACATTTGTCCTCTGCCTCAGCCGTAACTAAACGTATTTAAGTTTATTAGTTTAAAATGTTATATTCAAACCAAGAACACTATCATATTAGATGCATAAGAAACAAATCATGACTTGTAATATCTCTACCTCTTTTACAGTTCCAAGATTGTGCAGAAATGATGTTTATGGTGCAGTCCGTAGTGACGCCTTCTGTTGACAATTCATTGCTGTTAAAACTGTAAAGAAAAAGTCTTTCTAGCTTGAAATAAATGTACGATCTAGAGATCTATGCTCCAGTCTTGTTCCAGTAATCGAGTCACTAAATTCAGTTTGTTTGAAGGGGGAGGGGTAGTTTCAACGAGTGAGAAAGTTTTGGGTTTATTAATGGCATTTCCACTGTTACATACACTTTCGATAACAAACATTCACTGTGGGCCTTTTTCCCTCTCCTTCCATGTATTGCCCATATTGGGGGTCATTAGCTGTATCCCTCGCCCCATCCCACTCTAAAGTTTCACTTTCAGTTTTTCTTTGCAAATTTGAAATTCTAAATAATGTATATAATATAACTTTATACATGCATTAGCCCATTAGCCAACAGACAACAACGCAATTTAGTTAAACAGTAGCATTTAAGATAATCTTGCTTGCCTTACAAACACGTTTGTCAGGATTTATAGGGCATAATAATGCCTTAAATCTCGCAAAAAAAGTTGATCCATGTCGTCCACGCCTCAGTGACTCCAAATGATGAGTCATAATGCTGAAAACCATAAACAGGGTCTCCGGAAATCGTGATTTCATTATTACATTGGGGTATGGTTTATAATAAAGTTACGCCGGCATCGAACACTATTCCTTTTCTTAATTGATACCGATTTAGTTTCAAGTTGATATGGCAATTAATTCTAGAGATATTTTCTGAAACCATTTCTAATGTTTTAACCATAATGACATTGACCTTTGACATGTAGGGTCAAAATCTAACAGACAATTCACATACAAAATTGAAGTTGATACACACAGTAATTCTTGAGATATCCTGATGAAACGGACTGTGTGCACACAGTCGTACTTTATATAACTTTCGAAGACAAGGCATTGTCCTTACCTTTGTCCCTATAATATAGCACTATCCCATATACTATAGCACACAAACTGGCACTACCAAAGGCCGTTTTCAATACAAGAGAAAGACAAAGAATCTGTGTCTGTCTGTCCTTGGGGTGTATGTAAAGTGAGCAAACAAAACCTTACGAATGCAGTTTTGGGGGGAACTTGCATTGTTCTCCCTTTCTCCCTCTTCTTTAGAATTTCTGTCCATGGGGTACCGTTTTACAAAGGCTGACTTGCGGAATACCTTTCTTCCCTTTGTGTGAATACACATATACAAAAGGACTTAGCAAGTAAGCCCCTTCGTCTTCGCCAGCAAAAAAATTTAAAAAAAAAGAAAAGTCCATTGTCTCTTATAATCCAGTAGTATGCAATACACAATGGATCTCATTAACCTTTAATTTAACACAGACCTTGCATGAATGAGACTCCTCATCAGGCTAGTTTTTCCAACTCGTTCTTGACCGACGATCATCAGTCGTGTGCGATGTACTGTTGCACTGCCTTTTTCGAGTGCTTTTTGATAAACTCCCTGATTCCTTATTTCAGCAGGCACGTCTAGAAAACAATTCGAAAAAGGCTTACACCTAATTCTTAACTTTCTCATACAATGTTTTGATACTGTAAGTTATTCCACAAATGTGAGCGGAGCACGGAATAATACTATGTGTCTGGTTTACAGAATGCAACTGTTGTTATAGTTCGACCAAGCTGGATCGTGTAATCGAGTTTCTTGATCGAAAGACAGGGTGAGTAAAAAAAAAGCAGAACCAAAACCCCCCAAAATATGTTTCATATTGAAAAACATATGTAGCACCAATAATAATGACTGGAAAGCCAATAAGCCAATAAACACAATAACCTAAAAACCTCTTTTGTCCAAAAATGCGATTTCAAGAGTCGTCGTCACAATTGTCTTCAAACATCACTAGCGATAAAACCTCAGTTTAAAAGTTAAAAATATTCACAAAAGTCCTTTTGAAAGCCCATCTTTAAAAAAAGTGGATTGTATAAATTATATTGTTTGCCTAAGCAGGGTTGTTAATAAAAGTATTGTGTACTACAGTTGTTGACAGTTGTTTTCTTTGTTGTTTTAAACAGTTAGAACAAACCATACATTTCTTCTTTTTTTGGACGAAACAGGTTTTAGGGTCATTGTGTTAAAATGGGGACATTCTTTGAACAGATTGAGCAATTTCAGGCTTTTTTTTTTTATCTAAAAGTAGTTTCTGAATGTTTTCTCTTTAAGTCATTATAATTTTGGTGCTACATATTTTTTTTAATACGAAATATATATATATATATATATATTTTTTAGGGGGGGTTAAGGGTTCCGCTTTTTTTAGACTCACCCTGTACATGTACATCTACATCCATGTGCCATATTAAGTTCATTTAATTGACATGCTCTTCCATAATATAAACTGTAGCATTACATTAAAAAGGTCGTGGAAGAGAAAATGTCTTCCAGCCTGGAAATGTATTCAGTATGGCTCCTTGAGCAGCTTTTACATTAGATTGGGCTAGAAAAATATTAAAAAGCACTGAAACGTTGATAACCTTGGACTCCAAAGTTTCTCATAATTCGTTTTGATGCACAGCAAGCACAGTTTCGTGGGTTGAAATCATTGAAAATTGACTAGCCAACTCAGTTTTTTTTTCTGAGATGGATAGATGTGAAATGCAAACCTTGTACATGAATGTAAAAACATTACACAGCGATACACCCTTTTGTACGTTTTTTTTCCATTTTCTGACAACTGGCAAAAAAAGTCACTTTAACAATACTGTGAAACCAACATTTGCTTTCAGTTAAAAACTATGAACATACATGCACTGTACAGAAAGGCAGTTTAAATATACATGTTGATAACGTCAGTAACTATAGCCCCATGAGCAGGTATTTCATTGCTTTTGTCTAAAAAAATAACTTTGAAAAATACTTAAATGTTGATTACCTATGGTTCTAAACTTTTTCATATCTGTTTCGATGTGATGTACATATAAATATATGCATGGCGAACAGAAAGTAAAGTCGTTGAGATAGATGCATTAGGCCTACGCGGATAAAAGCTACGTACATTTTCATAATATTTCTCCCATTTTTCAAACAACTGGAACAAGTTCACTAGAACATATTAAGTACATGATCAAATATAAACTTACATACATACATTTGACGTTTGTCGAATAGTTACCTAATTCAAAACTGGTTTTTACCATGGTTTATCTTAATTATATGTAAACCATATAGATTTGAATCTGGTATTGCTACGTTCCCGCACGCGGCACAAGTGTAATGTTCTTTCCCGACTGATCCATTTATATCCTTTATCTAGTGGCATAGAAAGGTCATTTTGTTTGGGACTAGATGTGGACATGGGCACACTGTTTGATAATTAATCCGTTTATTAAACTATTCACCAATTACTTGCGATTTCCCCAGTGAGTTAAAATATAATTATTTTTAGCTGATAATCATATAGTTTTAGTAAATGTATCTGCTGTAGTGCTTTGCTCTTTATATACAATTGAAAAGACAGTCAGCTATAGGACCAACAGTTTGCTCATTAACAGAGAATTATTGATTGCATTTGGGTTTCTTTTCACAGTTTTGTTGGAACTGCTTCAGTACAAACAATAGTTGAATTCATTATGATGTTATTTTGTGTCTGAAAAGCATTTTGCTCGTATAGGCTGTACAAACTGAATCAGTGACCAGTATAGTTCATGTATACATTTCTATGGTGACAAAGTAACTAGCCAATGAGTAAACCCAAAGCCACTGGAATGACACAGGACAGTCGAGAGGTCGTAATTTCGTTAATATGAATACTAACTAACCACCACTCCTTTCCAACCTTTCTTCCTCATCCATATTGACGCTGAACATAAAGTTGTCTCCGAGGGTCTCAGTATTTGTCCCATTCCCAGTACTGTGAATCACACAGGGCTCAGCCAAAATTTCACAGAAAACTACCGCATAGGATCCTTCTCCGTTAGTTTTTCCTTGATTCTGACCCATGTGACCAAGAACGCTTCTATGTAAAAAGTACCTGGGTACCGGTACTCCCAAACATCGTGTACCATCACTTGAAACTGATGTGCAAATTGTCAGTTCACACTTTTTGTACATGATGCAAAGCGATCAGTTATGCTAAAGTCCATGGCTTACAAATGATAACAATGAGCACGGAGAGTACCATTTGACAGTATGTGTACCAATTCGGGCGATTCACAATGCAGTGCGCCGCCGCGCCGGGCAGGGGCGTAGCCAGAAATTTTTCAGTGTGGGGGGGGGGGCGTCATGTAGATCGATGATAATTGTTTAGAAACTCTAAATCTCAGGGTTTTTTTTGGGGGGGGGCGACTGAGGCGACAAAGTTTCGGGGGGGGGGGGGCTGCCGCCCTCCACGCCCCCCGTGGCTACGCCACTGCCGCCAAGAGTTTGCCACGGAGAGTTATTTTTTCCCCAGTGCATTTTGGGAAATGGTCGACAAATTCGCAACGCGGGACATTTGAAATTGTTAGTTTTTCCCGTCAGTATTTTGGTAGGCGTAAGATTCGAGGATCTGTTTGCCCCTTTCTTTTCTTTTTATCAATATGATGTTTTTAGTAAGGCGGCAGAACGCTTTGCCCCAATCTAAAACAAATTTACTCAAATTGTCTACTGACACTCACTCAAATGGGCTATTTTTGTCGACCGTAAACTTGCAAAATGGACTCACCATGGCAAATTTTGGTGGCGCACTGCATTGTGAATAGCCCAACTTAGAAAACCATGTGTACCAATTAGACAAAAACCTGTTCCCCAATTGTAAATTGAGAGAAGACAAGGCGATTACTATCATTTCTGCTTCGCATACTAGAAATTAAAGGGAAAAAGGGTAAAGTAAAGCACCTGTATTTTTCTTGCAAATGTATATATATCACACTCCAACAAAACTTCCTTTTGGGGGAGTGAACAGGGGTTGGCCAGCCATTTCCGTCAATAATTTTCATTAATTGTGGCCAACTATTATATATAGTGCTTGTCTTGAAGTCGATCTAGCATCTTGGCCTGTCGAATTCGGGTAGGCCTCATGTAAGTGATTGAGGGCATTCTGACTTCAGTCTGCGGACAGTCATGCTCATACCGTTTTATTCTGAAATAAGCGAGTTCCCGAATTCTCTTCTGTTTTCCTATGATTAATCAAGTTGCTGTTTTATAAATTTGCTTTTATTGTAAATTATTGTTTTACATCGATATTGCACTTTTACTTTTTCAGGAAAAGATGATGATCCTTCTATAAATGTCAATGTTATTTTAGTGCTTAGAGGATTCTTTCTCAATTAGTTTGATTATTTATCTGTTTATTCATAACTATTCACCGAATACTTAGATTTTCCTAGATGGGATTTTAAATATAATTATTCCCAGCATATAATCATATATAGTTGTAGCACGTTTAACTCTTCTGGATAATGTTGTCTTATGTACAATTGGTACAATTGCAAAGACACAATCAGCTATAGGACTGTTTTTTTTTTTTTTTACTAATAGAGAACTATTGATTGTGTTTGTGTTTTCATAAATTAGTTGGCACTAACTTCAGTACAAACAATAATCGCATTCAATATGTGACGTAATTTGGTATCTGAAAAGAATATACACATATAGAAAGTAAGACTAAGAACTATAAATCAGTGACCAGTAGAGTTCAAGAATGAATTTCAATGGGGATATACGTATACCAGCAACTAACTAATGAGTAAACCCAAAGCCAATTTAAATACATATGACAGTGGAGAAGTTGAAGTTCCGTTAATATGAAATGCCAAGAGATCAACTAACCACCACCCCCTTACAGTGCCGTAGTTTAACTTGTTTTCCTCATCCATATCTGACGCTGAACATAAACCTCTCTCCAAGGGTATTAAGTTTTGTTTCACTACCCGTTTTGTGAATCAGTATTTGTCCTACTCCCTGTACTGTGAATCAGTCAGAGCTCAGCCAAGATCGAACGGTATACCACTGTAGGATCCGTCTCCGTGAGTTTGTCCATGAATCTGACCCATGTGACCAAGAACCTCTCTGTTTAAAAAGTATACCTTACTCCCCCAAATCGTGTTCCATCACTTGAGACTTTATATTTTACTTCAAATTGTCAGTTCATAAGTCACTTTGTTTTGTTTTTACATGTATTTGATGGGAAGCGATCAGTGAATGTTCAAGATCATGGTTTACACATGATGAAATCAACATGTACAGTACACTTTGGCAGTGTGTGTACCATTCAATAGGACATGAACTGTACTTCAAGTGCAAATTCAGAGAACACAAGGCAACATACTTTTCAGAAGTGCTTTAGTATCTACAATTGGAAACGATCAGTGTAACTCTGAAGTTCATGGTTCACAAATAATAAAAATAAGCACGGACAGTACACTTTGACAGTATATGAACCCATTTGAAAAGGACATAAACTGTTCTTCAAGTGAAAATTTAGAGAATACAAATACAACTTACGTCCACGACGTTTAAATGCTGAATCTTTAAACGCTACACGCTCTGGATAAAAACAAACAAACAAAAATGGTCAAGGAAGCACCTGCATTTTCCCGCTTTTTTTTTGGGGGGGGGGGTTGGAACTGGAAGGTGGTTGGCCAGCCATTTCCGTCAATAATTCATAAATTGTGGCCAACTAATATATATATAGTGCTTGTCTTGAAGTCGGTCTAGCATCTTGGCCTGTCGAATTCGGGTAAGGCCTCATGTAAGTGATTGAGGGCATTCTGACTTCAGTCTGCGGACAGTCATGCTTATACCGTTTTATTCTGAAACAGGTAAGTTCCCGAATTCTCTTCTGTTTTCCTATGATTTGTTCTTATTAATCATGTTGCTGTTTTATAAATTTGCCTTTATTGTAAATTATTGTTTTACACCGATATTGCACTTTTACTTTTTCAGGAAAAGATGATGATCCTTTTATCGATGTCAGTGTTATTGTTAGTGCTTAGAGGATTCTTTCTTAATTAGTTTGATAATGTATCCGTTTATTCATAAGTATTCTCCAAATACTTAGATTTTCCTAGTGGGTATTTTAAATATAATTATTCCTAGCATATAATCATATATAGTTGTAGCAAGTTTAACAAGTTCTATGTTGTACACATAGATAGTAAGAACTACCAGTAGAATTCAAGAATGAATTTCAATGGTGATATACGTATACAAGCAACTAACTAATGAGTGAACCCAAAGCCACTGGATTACATATGACAGTGGAGAAGTTGTAGTTCCGTTAACATGAAATGCCAAGAGATCAACCAACCACCACCCCCTTACAGTGCCGTAGTTTAACCTTTCCTTCTCATCCATATCTGACCCTGAACATCAACCTCTCTCCAAGGGTATTAAGTTTTGTTTCACTACCCGTTTTGTGAATCAGTATTTGTCCTACTCCCTGTACTGTGAATCAGGCAGAGCTCAGTCAAGATCTAACGGAATACTACCGTAGAATCCGTCTCCGTGAGTTTTTCCTTAATTCTGACACATGTGACCAAGAACCTCTCTATGTAAAAAGTATACCTTACTGCCCCAAATCGTGTTCCATCACTTGAGACTTTATATATCTTAAAAATGTCAGTTCACAAGTCACTTTGTTTTGTTTTACAATTTACGTCACGTGACTAAAACGGGAGGAATTCCTCCTTTTTCCGAAAATATCCGAAGTTTGCCGAATTCTTTTCGGCGACAATCGGAGAGTGCCCGAGTATTTCCGAGTATAATAAAGGTTGTATTAAATGCTAATTGTTTATTAAAAACTTTTAAAAACAAGTTGATAATTAATATCCATTGCTTTTATTTAGAAAACTTAAATTCAGGGGCAAACATTTTGCTGCGTCATGTACTAGTTTGAATTTGACGACCGTTACCGGCATTTTCCAAAACTCGGCGTGGTCTCAATACAGCTCCGCCTGCTAACAGTGCTATTTGGGAGTCTAACTTTGAAGATTCCAGGTCAAAATAAGTCAATGTTTTCTTACAGAAGTATAAAACTGTATATCATAACTGTATGATATATGAAGCAAGTGATTTATTTTAAAAATTTGATCGGAACGTTAAAAGCTTTAAGTGATAAAGCGAGTTCGGAAACGAAGCCGAGCTTTGAAAAAGGGGCGTCAATGCCGTCATGTTTATTTTTAGCCATGGGGGCTGCCTGACCTACAATTTAGACGTGTGGACGTACGTCGGGGGAAATTGTCAGGTCGAGGAACCAGACTACATGAAATACTGATTCACTGGTAGTACATTGCGCATGCATACGGGAGGAATTTGAACGTTCATAACCAATGAAACGTTAAAAGGCACCGGATTTCATAGGAGTCCAAATTTCATGTGACACTGGAAAAGCGTTAAAGACCAGCTAGCCATGTCTTTATCAACCGTTTAAGACCGGCCACGTGACGGGCTCTCGACCAATGGGAATGCGTAAACTGTCTTAGGTATTTATGAATAAAATATAAGGCAAAGTACACCCATTTTCAGGCCTTTTGACATGTATTGTGATACGGAAAAGGGCGCACTCATAGTCGGTTGTAAACATTAATATTGTGCATCATTTTACTCGTGTACTGTATTAATAGCATGCCTAGTGTGATGTAGATTTATTTACTGTTCGATTGACACTGAAATTGACACTCAGGTATTGTAAATCTCACGGAATACTACCGTATGATCCGTCTCAGGGAGTTTTTTCTTGATTGTGACACATGTGAACAAGAATCCTTTCGTTTAAAAAGTACCTGGCATGCTGGGCCCGCAAAAATTGTGTACCGTCACTATTGTGTACCGGGACTTTATGTTCAAGTTGTCAGTTCACTATAGTAATATTTTTGTTTTGTGCATGTATGCAGTGCCGGAAATGAACAGTGATGCTCAAGATCATGGTTCACAAATAATGAAAATAAACTTCTATAGTACACTTTGACATACATTGTATGTATACCGATCTGAAAATGACCGACATTGTACTTCAAGTG